TCTCTGTGCTTCTGAGAGACAGCTGTCTTAAATTCCTCAAATTCAGCAGGTAACAAATGGGTTTGAGGACATGGGTGGTCCCCATTCAATTTTGCAATGTAGGGCAGAGGTGATTTACTTACAGTGTAATGGAAGGGTTTATTTTATCTTATTTGCTTTCCTTTGATGATATTTGCTTCTTCATGTTACCAGTTTAACTCAAGTGCATGAGGAAACTGGTATTCTGCTCACTAAACCGATAGATCTGATCCCGCGACTAGATGAAATCAAAGAAGACGTGAAAGAAATAAACGAGGCAGACATAAGGGAAGCTGCCAACATTCCCAAGGAGCGTGCAAAGTTAAGAAAAGCGCAATTACAAGCACAAGCAGCAGTTAAAGAGAAGCCTCTCTCCCCTGTGGATGGTACTAGTGTCATGTGTGAGGCAAACCAGGGAACAACATGGAAGGTATTGGGGGTAGTGAAGGGCATGGTAACTGAAGTCACGATAAGTCTCACTTCTGATTGGTTGATATGAGATAAGGAATTGCAACCATTAGACAGCGAGTGATTGCCCTTCTTTCCTCTTAGCCACACACAGCGAGTAAAAAAGTAAAATTATATTATGCTAATTAATGGTAAAAAGGAGGAGAGATTGGGGCAGAGAGAGCAAAAAGGGTGTCTCCCATTTTCTCTTCACTGGGGTTCCACCCTCAATCCTCATGGCTTCGCTGCTCTCCCCTCTCACATACTCTTGATCAACTGTGACTCAAAAGAAGAATAAGAGACTGCTTGCAGTCTATGCAAACATGCAAGCTGAAACAATCAATAATACTGGATTTAAAATAGCTGCAAAATAATTTCCTATTAGAAAGTGATCACGCAGAGAATGATAGAAACAGCAGTCCTTCAGTGCCTTCCTTTTACAAACTGCGTTTTGAATTTTCAGGTCATGTCCAAATTTCCCCCTGCAATGGTCACTACACCAAAGTTGCTGGACTTGGATATCAATCGAAATCGTTTGGCGGCTCAGGAGTAAGTCAGCAGAGTTACATATAGAGGGACATTAAATTTTTGAACAAAGCACTGTCATGGGGAATTCACTTATCGATGGTTTCATAAGTTAGAGCACACTCTTTTTCAGTATATTCAAGAGAAGTAACAAAATAACCTTTTGAGAGGTTTCATTTGAAAAGTGACTTTACAGAATTTACATCTGTAAAATCAAGTTGAAACCACCTTGTAAGGATTCCATTAGCCACCCTGTGAAACAATAGTCCGTGTTGAAACTCATTTCTGCCCTTGCTGGGTTTCTCCTTGGGCTCTTCCCATTTATCCCTCCCTAAAAACGTTAATTCCCGTTTTCAAATCTACGAAGGATTTAAGACACAGGTCGTTAGTAGAAAGACTATCACCTTCCACCCTCTACCAGTTAAATTACAACTCTTCCCCACTCCAGAGGGGACCGAAAGTTGAGATACCCTGGGAATGAGGATTATAAAATAATAAAAAAACTTTCTTTTTCATTCCTTCATTTCAGTATTTTAGCGCGTTTAAGCTGTGGTTCATTGGATGCTAAATCAGTCAGTCTCCCTCCATCAAGTTTCTTCCCATCCCTATATGGCTATTACAAGAGACCTGATGATGGAATACGAAAGACTAGGAGCGAAGCACATGGGTGGTCCCCATTCAATTTTGCAATGTAGGGCAGAGGTGATTTACTTACAGTGTAATGGAAGGGTTTATTTTATCTTATTTGCTTTCCTTTGATGATATTTGCTTCTTCATGTTACCAGTTTAACTCGAGTGCATGAGGAAACTGGTATTCTGCTCACTAAACCGATAGATCTGATCCCGCGACTAGATGAAATCAAAGAAGACGTGAAGGAAATAAACGAGGCAGACATAAAGGAAGCTTCCAACATTCCCAAGGAGCGTGCAAAGTTAAGAAAAGCGCAATTACAAGCACAAGCAGCAGTTAAAGAGAAGCCTCTTTCCCCTGTGGATGGAACTAGTGTCATGTGTGAGGCAAACCAGGGAACAACATGGAAGGTAATGGGGGGGAGTGAAGGGCATGGTAACTGAAGTCACGACAAGTCTCACTTCTGATTGGTTGATATCAGATAAGGAATTGCAACCATTAGACAGCGAGTGATTGCCCTTCTTTCCTCTTAGCCACACACAGCGAGTAAAAAAGTAAAATTATAATTATTATGCTAATTAATGGTAAAAAGGAGGAGAGATTGGGGAAGAGAGAGCAAAAAGGGTGTCTCCTATTTTCTCTTCGCTGGGGTTCCACCCTCAATCCTCATGGCTTCGCTGCTCTCCCCTCTCACATACTCTTGATCAACTGTGACTCAAAAGAAGAATAAGGGACTGCTTGCAGTCTATGCAAACATGCAAGCCGAAACAATCAATAATACTGGATTTAAAATAGCTGTAAAACAATTTCCTATTTGAAAGTGATCATGCAGAGAATGATAAAAACAGCAGTGCTTCTGTACCTTCCTTTTACAAACCACGTTTTGAATTTTCAGGTCATGTCCACATTTCCCCCGGCAATGGTCACTACACCAAAGTTGCTGGACCTGGATATCAATCGAAATCGTCTGGCGGCTCAGGAGTAAGTCAGCAGAGTTACATATAGAGGGACATTAAATTTTAGAACAAAGCAGTGTCATGGCGAATTCACTCATCGATAGTTTTATAAGTTAGAGCCACACTCTTTCTCAGTATATCCAAAAGAAGTCACAAAAACCTTTTGGGAGGTTTCATTTGAAAAGTGACTTTACAGAATTTACATCTGTAAAATCAAGTTGAAACCACCTTGTAACGATTCCATTAGCCACCCTGTGAAACAATAGTCCGTGTTGAAACTCATTTCTGCCCCTGCTGGGTTTCTCCTTGGGCTCTTCCCATTTATCCCTCCCCCAAAACGTTAATTCCCGTTTTCAAATCTACGAAGGATTTAAGACACAGGTCATTAGTAGAAAGACTATCACCTTCCACCCTCTACCAGTTAAATTACAACTCTTCCCCACTCCAGAGGGGACCGAAAATTGAGATACCCTGGGAATGAGGTTGATAAAATTATTAAAAAACTTCCTTTTTATTCCTTCATTTCAGTATTTTAGCACGTTTAAGCCATGGTGCATTGGATGCTAAATCAGTCAGTCTCCCTCCATCAAGTTTCTTCCCATCCCTATATGGCTATTACAAGAGACCTGATGATGGAATACGAAAGACTAGGAGCGAAGCGGCTCCAAAACGAAAGAACATTGTCAAGACATTTAGATCCAAAGTGAGGTTCCTCCCTCCCATTGCCACCCTTTACCCTGAAGACGAACAGGAAGGAACTTCCTAGCGAATTACTATTTGAAGAATAACCAACTCAAGTGTTTAACGTTTATATCTTTCAAGTTCAAACCTTATTATTATGATAAAAATAATAAAAATTCATGCGAATTATTATGTAGCTCTTTGAGTGGTAGTGTGGAATAACATGAGCAGTTTTTCAAAAAGCTTTAAATTTCTGCTGTAAGATAAAGCTCTGCCTATTTTCTGCAGTATTTATCAGTGGAGCTGAAACCAAACTGTAGAATTGCACACCTTTTTGGCATCCTACCAATAACCAGTTAAGACAATTGGATATTTCCAGACACAATTTGCTCATTATAATGCAGGCTTTTTGCTTTTACATCGTCCTTTAACTGCCAATGGAGCTATAAGAATGAGGTGTGAACTAGACTCCTCATTTCAAAGTATTGTCTAAATCCAAGTCTGTAATGAATCACAACATCGTCCTCTTCCACAACAACACAAAAGTGTCACCGTGCATGTTTTAAAACTGATACCAACCTAAAGCTTGTGACTGTGGACAAATCCTAAGATGTGGGCACTTTTAGGAATGAGAGTTCAGTCGCATTTGTGTCATAAAATACTCTGGCCAACCACAACGTGTGCAAACCATCCAGAGAACTGATCAATGAGAAATGAAGAATACTTGATGCACAAAAGGAGACACATTGTGGAAAGTCACATTATTGGTTCTAAAGGCGCAAAGAGGTTTAACTACAATACTAAGAATCAGAAAAATTCATTTGACTTAGTTTTTTTGGTTAAAATAAATTCGAGGTGCCATCAACAGAATTTCCCAAAGAAAGGCAAAGTATAAACATGGCAAAAAAGGTTGGTAAGATATAAGGGGAAATCAAGTATCATAATCACACAACCGCATGTTCTTCACTGTAAATTGATTTTATTACTTCAGCCTTTTTTCTAACACTGCTCAGTTTTATACAGCAGCGGCTTGGCGTGGTCCACCAACTCCTCCTGGACGCTGACCCTGAGGGTTGTCAGGCTGGCAATTAAAACAGAATGAGAGAAACAAAGGCAGGGTGAGATGACAGGAGGAATCTCGGCCTGCCTAATGGCATGATGTTACGTTATTGTACTCTAGCCCATTCTGTCTACTTAGGCAGTTTGTTGCAACTTTTAGGTGAAAAGTGCAGCAATGTAACCAGACCAGGAAATGCCACTGGGATCCCCACAAAACATTCTCTTCCATTTCTGATAGGCTTTCAGCCAAATAAAAGTGATTGGAGTTCACTTAAAAGTACAAGATTAATGGGTGTACTACACATATTATTGGACTTTCTGCTCCAGTAAAGTACTATGGACAAACAGCAGTTTTCTCACATGCTAGTGAGAACCTGAATGGTTTTCAAAAGGAATGATAACACACTTTACTATTGGACAACAATACTGTCACACCCTGAATGAAACCAATAATTCTCTTGGTCCACAACAGTTTTTAGTAGTGACAAAGCAGTAGCAAAGTCCAGTGATTGATGCAATTTTCAGTTGGGTCGGCCACATGTGTGGGATAAAACAGGGATTCAAATAATTCTGTTTTAGTATTGAGAATTTACCATTTTTCTGCACTTGGTGTACTGAGTTCACATTTTGATTCGTGAACAAATAACACAGCTGTCAGAAATACACATGTAGATGACTGAGCTGCATTTAAAAGTGCGAAATGTGTCCAACCTTTGAGGATAAATATCAGGCAGCTGGAGTAACTAACTGGAGCCGCCTTGAAAACACAACTCGTGAGAAAAGATTAAAATGTTTGGGGTAGGACAGCCTTGGTATCACCCACAGTAGTTGTAAACAAGAACTTCTTTTTGACTTACCCTGCGAGGGAACCTTGGAGGTGGGACCCTGATTTTTCTGTTTTCCTTTGAGCGATTCCTCACGACCTTGGAGTGAATTGCACAGCTCACACAGTAGTGAAGTTTCACATACAGTTTGGGAAGAGGATACACTAGAAATAAATGAAACATATTAAATACAAAAATGCACATTATGGTGTTATTGTCCAGTGTCATCTGAAAGCAAACACAGACTGTTCTCTACGATAATAATGATAACCTGCCAAAACAAGTATCTTAATGTCCCAAGTGACTAATACCAATATTCTCCTAACAGTATCCAAGGTTGCAAGAATTACTTGACCGTCTAAGCCCCACGATCCACATACAAATTCTCCACACAGATCTCCATACATTTCTTTTAAGAATAGTTGAGAAAATTTGGTTTAAGATCAAAGCATTCTCCCTTTGGTAATCAATTTAGTAATTCTCATAACCTGTACTGTTGATGATCTGCTGACGTCATTAGGAGAAAAGTGATGTTGGTCACTCTTGGGACCTAAAGGGTAAATTATCACTAAAGGAAAATACTTTGATCTTTGACCAAATCCTCTACACTGTTTCTTTAAAGAATTGTATAGAGATCCGATAGGAGAATTTGTCAGCAGATGTAGTGTTTTGCACCAGAATTCTTGGATAAGCCCTATCCCAAGAGTAACCAGACCCACCTCCTGTTAGTTCATGCAATGAAGATGTTCACACTGTGATTATTTTGAGGATGCAATTGTGTTCTGTGGAATATACTGCAAAAATTTAACTGAAAAAAGCTGACTAATAATAACAAAATATCTTCACAAATAAGTTTTGCAGTGCTTTCCCGACAGCCCTGCTAGGAGGGAAGAGTAAAAACAAATAATAAATTTTTGCACAAACATGGAAAATTTCTTTTCTGCAGCTAAGTTGAAAGCCTCTTTTGCCTTTGTTTGTTGTTTCTTTTTCAACCATTATTACTGCAGCCAAGAAAGAGCCCCACCGCAAGTATTAAAACATCAGTGTTATATTACCTTCATAAACACTAGCATCAGCTATATCCCTGACAGCAGCTGCCTCCACAATGTTCCTAATCACAAACTTCTTAATAGCTTTGTCCTTGGGTACACATCGTGCACAGTTTGTACAACGAACAAACTTGACATGTCCACGGCCATGCTTGCTGCGCCCACAGTTACGCCTCTTTTGTGTCTGCATGTTAAACATGAAAATTAACCTTTGAACCTTGAAGCGGGCAGATGAAGACATAATATTTACCATCTATCTAACTTCTTGAATTCAGCTAGGCATAACCATTTTCAATACAGTACAGTAACATTTAGTTTACAGTCACTTCGTTTCATGGTCAGATCACTCCAAGCCTGCAGATTGTCCAATTTTATAGTCAGATCACTTCAGTTAAAACTTTTTTTGGGCATGAGTAACGCTGACTATTAAGTGGAATGATCTGGCTTGGAACCATCTGATCATAGAACAAAGTGACCAGATACCCATTATCCCAGTCATATTGTGTGCAATCACACAGGCCCTCAAAGAGCAAAGAATGAATATTTTCTAGAAGCACAAAAAATATGGGTTTGCCCACACAGATTTCCTGCTTGTAAGGTATATCTCATGACTGGTTTTCAATTAGGGTCAATTAGGGTTAGGGTCTAAACAGACACTCTGGAAGACCAACTAAGAGCTCAATACTTCAACTTAAAACTGACATGAAAAACAGAGCCGGTCGCCAGTTATTGTTTCAGTGCCAATGACCAAAAAGAACATACCAGTGTAAAAAATAGACAAATGAAAGATCAATGAAATTAACTGGAATTTTCCTTCTAACAACTGACAACGTGGGTTTTATACCAGCGCCACATTCGAACACAAATAGCTACAAAATCGGAATTTTTCTTCCGCGATATCAACAAAGAACGCTTTGAGGGGCATAAGTGATGCCTAATAATCATTTCAAACGCCTCAAACGTCTTTACTGTTACAATAACGACCGAAATACACATTGAATAAAGTTACACATCACAAAAACCTCACCATGTTGGATCTGAAAGAGGGAAAAGAGACCGCTCACATGGAAACCCTGAAATTTCACTTGGGCCACCCCGAAAATTACTCTATAGCATCGCGGGCGCAAGTTTCATCATTCACGTGCAAAGTCAAGATGGCTGCCTCTTTTTTGAATAGAATTGCTGCTCTTGGAATCGGCGTCGCCGCGATCGGTGGCGTTGTTAATACTGCCCTCTACAATGGTAAGATGCAACTTTGTTTACTGTTCTTGCAGCGTGGTGGATTTGTGAAAAAGCGACGCATGATTTGGAAAATCGTTAAAGATTTGTTGACAACTTCGACTGCATGTCCTCATCTACTGTAGGCCGCTTAATCAATATTTCCTTTCTGAAGAAGCCCTACCTGCACTGTATTTTTTCTCTGGCTGTTAAAATTCTATGATAAATTACCTGCAATCAAAGATTAGCCGATCTTTCTTTACTTTATTTTTTTATGGGTTTTAACAAATTGAAGTAAGCTTATATTTTTCTTTGCTTCGTACATTGGTTTAAAACTGTACCAAAAGAGCTGTAGCTTTATCACAAAAATGTTCTCCAACTTCTAAAACTTCGTTAAAGAAGGTTTCAATAAAACCTGTTGGTGTCTTTAAGTTCAGGGTACATTTTTTTATTTTTCATCTTTTTAATTATCCTGTGACATTTATTGAAATTATTGCATAATGCTCCTTTCACTATATGTGAGGGGTGTGTGCGAGGAGGGAGGGGGGAGGGAGGTGTTCGTGTCCAAAAAAAAACGCACATGATTTGCTCTTTCAGGTAAGTAATGATAATATATTAGGCATTGGCTTGTAGCTTCCCTTTTTTTTGGAGTCATAACTTTTGATGTACAAAGACCCATTCCAGAAATGACAGCTGGTGTAATATTCTTACATATAGTTACTGGTTTATAAAATCAGCCCTAGTAACATCATTCTCAAAATCAAAATTCAACAGAATGTCGTACCTGAGGTTAAGCTATTAAGGGACTCATTTTGATTTAACCAAAGGAAAGTAGACAAGCCACCATTTTTGCAATGGGTCTCTATTTAATATAACAGCTAACCTGAAAAGGTCTCTCTGTAGATGACAGAACACAGTATTTCTATGTATTTTTGACCTTTAGTTATCTCTTAGTAACAACTTCAGAAGGGGATGTAAATTCTAACTACATGTACTATATAGAGTTAGTAAAAGTAAAGTCAACTCTTTTTGCTTATAAATGCATACGATGTGGTTCTAATTTCAGTGGAAGGGGGCCATCGTGCTGTAATATTTGATAGATTTCAAGGTGTTAAACCTGAGGTCACTGGTGAAGGAACCCATTTCCTCATCCCGTGGGTACAGAGGCCCATCATATTTGACATTCGTAGCAGACCAAGAAATGTACCTGTTATAACTGGAAGTAAAGGTACTTTATTCATCTGTTTTAAAAAACACCTAAATGAACTATCTATAAGAAGATGGTGAATAGAACATAGAAAATGGTGTTTTGGGGTGTCAAGGGTGACTATTTCTATTCTCTGCACACCTACCGGTAACTCCTGGATAACTGCCTCCTCACAGTACACCCATTTAGATGAAAAGGTTATCTTAGGAAGCAAGTAGGGGACAATAGGGCCATTTATACGAGGAAAAATAAGACGCGTCTTACATAGGACGTGTCTTAAATAAGACGCGAACTTTCCGTATAACGGCACATTTCGTCTAAAATAAGACGCGGCGTAGCTAAGACGCGTCTCATTTTAGAACAGCCCTTAACACCTGTTCTTAGATAAGACGCGTCTTGGCCAAGACGAGAAAAACTTCGTATAAATGACCTTCGCGTCTTACATAAGATGCGAATGCATAGTACGCATGCGTTAATTTTTGGCGTGCCATGTTGGATTGCCATTGCTACGGACGGCATTCACATGAAAACGAGTCAAGAACAGAAATAAGACGCGAACCATTTATACGAGCTGTTCTCGTCTTAGATAAGACATGCTCGTATAAATGGTACAGTTAGCATCTTATTTAAGACGCGTCTTATTTTTCCTCGTATAAATGGCCCTAGTGTGTTCCCTGGGCTGTGGCTGAAGACAATGGATCAGAGGTTGTGTTTGGGCACTACTGGATTTGTGGACAGCAGCCTTGTTCCCAGGGGTCTCTCCTACCCATCCTGGGGAATGAGGTTATTTGGACAGAAGGCAAACATCTGAGAGTAACAATTTTAGTAAAATCCCTCTAGGGGAGTATGCACCCCTTGTAGAGTATTAGCTGCTGAAAAGCCTAATTCAATTAGAAAGTTTTGATCCATTCTCAAAATAGGTCAGACTCAAACTCTGTGAGGAAAAGCCATACCAAGGTTATATACTTCCCAAATTGAGTGTCTGCTGAAAAACTTCTTTCTTTGAAGACAGCAGAAAATAGAGTTTATTTCTAAGAAGGAATTTTGCTTAACAGATTTACAGAATGTTAATATTACACTAAGGATCCTGTTCAGACCCCAACCTCAGGTATTGCCAAACATGTACATGAACCTTGGAGAAGATTATGATGAAAGAGTTCTTCCATCAATTACAACTGAAGTTCTCAAGGCTGTTGTGGTAGGCCATAATGTTTTAGTTTACTTCAACTTTCAAACAACATATGTACACTTTTATCACCAGGCTAAATTCTCAAGTGTCGTTCCAACCATTCCAATATAATTATCTTCTGATCAGTACTTGCTTGTAGTACTGTTTATGATGATATACAAGGTGGCAGGTTGTAATATTAAAATTTGTGATTGAAAAGGTGGAAGTGTGTTTAATAAACTAGAAGTAATCACAGATTGAGGATCTGCGTTCGTCACTCACACAATTGAAATAGAGTCAAAAGGATTCCAGTTTCCAGTGGCCAAGATGCCCCTGATAAAATTAATAGGGGTGGCTAATTTGCAGTCGGTCGTGATAGCTCAAAAACTTCTGCCTTAGTGCCACAGGAACACCAGATTAGGATGCATTCTGACAAATGCAATAATTTGGCATTGTAAAAAGCTACTGATCATTGCTCCTTTCTGGTTGTCATAATTTGAAGCAGACTCTAACTGACAATGTTTTTTTTTTCACAAGGCCCAGTTTGATGCTGGAGAACTTATCACACAAAGAGAAGTGGTAGGTTTGTCACAAGATTTCAGTTTTTTAAACTGTATTTGCCACTTTAGAAATGAGGGGGGAACTGAAGGCAATTTGTCCTCATTGTTTCTGGGATCATTGCTGTAGACACACCAGTCAGCTATTGGTAATTTTTCCTTGTCCTTAGTAACAGTCCCAGAGGTCCTTATGAATGTTGTCTTGGCCCAGTTCCCTTCTTGGTTCTAAAGTGGCAAATTGCAGGAGAGATTTAAAAAGGATGATACTCATTGTCTCTAAAAGTTATAGTGAAAATTTAAAATCATATGTTCAAGAACATTTTATGTTAGCTGACACAAACGTTGAGTAAGGCAAGATGCTGTAACTCTTTAAATCATTACCAAGTAAACCTTGAAGAAGACATGTCCAGCATTCTTTATTTAAAGCTAAAGTAATCTTCAGCTTTCTCTAACTTGTTATTTCCAAGTTTTGATAAATGATAGGTTGTCTATTTTGAATAATGAAAAGTTTATATGCAAATTTTAAATTTTGTAGGTTTCTCAGAAAGTTCAAGAGGCCCTGACAGAGAGAGCTGCAAGTTTTGGTCTTATTTTGGACGATATCTCTTTGGTGAGGATACATCATTATGAATTTAGTGTTAAATAAGAACAGCGCTTTGGGGGGATAGCGGGAGATGTTAGGGGGTGTGGTAGAGGGACCCCTTGAATGTCCATACACCCATCCTACCTGAGATACCTCGTTTTGAACTTGGAGACAAATGCACCTCCCTGCCACCCATACCCCCTCCCAGTAAAACCTTATGCCCTGGTTGTTCAAACTCGGATAGCACAATCCAATGGATAAATTACCATCCTTTGAGTTGTTTGACTGTAATTGCAATGTTTGAGAGCGCAACAAATTGTACAGAAACAGTTACTGAATCTGAACTGCAAATTACGGTATTAATTGAAAGAAATTTAATAACTAAGATGGCAATGTACATGGATAGAGGCAAGGAATAGAAAAAATAACCAGCAAACATCCCTATGTACATGTACCTGTGTTGATACAGACAGTTAAAAGAAATCATGAAAGAGTTGAAGGTGATAAAGCTCAAATCAATAGCAGCTGTTAGATTTGACTACCATCACGACTTTGGAATCTGAAGCTAGTTAAATCCTCAGAACTCTAACTCCTTCCTGTTCGCGACCAGAACAGGGGAAGATTATTACAGTTTATTTAAGCACACAAACTGGATTTGAAAGCTCGTACTCGTTTTCAGTCTCTTGCTTGTAGTCAAATCTAAGGTTATCAACAATCCTTTTCCAGCCTCAGTATCATGGATCCTTAATATCAACAACTCTGTCAGGTTTTCCTTGTTTAAATTGTTTTGTTTCCCTTGTTTTAGACTCATTTGACCTTTGGTAAAGAATTTACAGAGGCTGTTGAATTAAAACAAGTCGGTAAGTGAAGGATTTTGCTGTTGCCTGTTTGGAACGTCTGCATTCAACAAGTATACACCCTGCGAGGGGAAAAGAAAAATGAAAGTTCTTATTGCCGATTAGGTTTTTTGCATCCCATAAGGAATACTTTTTCCCTTTTACTTGTCTAACTTTGTGGCTTTTTTCTCTTCTATCCTCTAGCTCAGCAAGAAGCGGAGCGTGCCAGATTTCTTGTAGAGAAAGTAAGTAGTTGGACAAGACAAATTATCTGAATAGTCTCTTTGAAAATAAATCCAGCAATGGCAAAGAGCATGAGCTGCTACAGTCATCTCGCCACCAAGAGGTCGACTCGCCGCCAACATTGTTCAACTTTTTATTCCATTTATTCGACTAAGCTTGACCATGAGCCCTAGAGGTAAAAATGTTTAGTAGATGGCAACCGATCATAGATTTCGTTTTCGTTGATGGCGAGATGACTGGATTCCCCGCTAATAGCTAGATATTTTACCTGTGGAGCTAGCTTGCTCTCCAGCATTGTGATTGGTCAGTCTATGGTATGAGTACGTTGCAAGCGGAAAAGTGGTGCGACTTTTTGAGCCTTCAGATATATCTTGTAGCAACATATAAAACCGCTTTTTCTTCCTCTCTCATCTCTAGGCTGAGCAGCTCAAGAGAGCTGCCGTTATCACCGCTGAAGGAGATGCCAAAGGCGCAGAAATGCTGGCTGATGCATTTAAAGAAGCAGGGGAGGGCCTTGTAGAGCTGAGAAAGCTGGAAGCTGCTGAAGAAATCGCAGACAGATTGTCTCGTTCACGAAACGTTGCTTACCTACCAAATGGACAGAACATGCTTTTGAATTTACCTGTTGGTCGTCAGTAAATATGAGTTTTAAAGGACTTAACCCTAGAATTCCGACAATAGACGTTGTTTTCAAGGATTTAGATTAGGTTTTCGTATCAGAGTTGGGTAGACTTGAAATCGTGCACTTCTTGTCAGAACTTTAGGGTTTAGGCACCTGCTGAGGTAAAGTATTTGGTCTCTTCAGGCCACTTGCGCTTAAGGCCAGTTATTTGTCACGGGAAAGTAAAGAAATGACCAGAGAAGTTTGTTCTGTTGTACGTCTTTAGAACCATTGCAAACAGTCTGTAACTACAGGAGGTTTCCTGATCAATCGGAGAGTGTTGTCAGTTACCGTAAAAGGCCATTTACACGGGCGATTTTGTCACGTCGGACGACAAGAGCGGTAATTTAAGCGCGATCTACCTTCGAGTTTAGGTAGTGTTATTAAACAATATTATAAACATACGCGGTTGCTTGTAAACAAAAAATGGCGGACAGTACTTATTTCCAAGAACAGGTCGCTTGCTGCGATAAATCACGCTGAAATAGCCAACTGTTTACACGTGCGATTTGCCGCTGCAACTAGATCAGCCCTTGTCGCCATTAAAATCGCCCTGGTAGACCGGCCTTAATAATGATGTAACTCGTAATAAATTTTGGACAGAAACACGAGATTCTCAGTGTAAACAAGTATTCGTTTTAATTCCAAAGGCTTTAGGTTTCTCACACCAGTGCTAAGGCAGGTTTAGAGTAAACTTACTTAAAAGAACCACGTAAAACATGATTCATCAAACAAACAATGGTACTTCGTAGAAGTACCTGGAAATGATCGCCATGCTAGATGGGTCTTAATCCCCGTCTGAGAAACTATAGGGAGAATGGGCATAGCCTTTTGGTGCAGTGATTTCCGGGATCGTTTGGGTAGACAAGCTTAGCTATGATTGGTCGATGAATCTCAAGGTTACCATTAACCAATCACAATTAACGTTCGTCCACCCAAATGATCCCAGAATTCGTTGTGCCGAAAGCTTGTACCCATTCCCCTTATAATTTTGGAGTTTCTTTTTTTACCCTCATAAGAATTACTGAATGTGAAGTTTGCAAGGACGCCATAAATTTGAATCAATGGCAGTAGGTTACTGGCTTAATTTTATCTGACACGACTCCACATACGAGGATGTCCGACTTCGAGATATACTGTTCTGCCTTTCGTTTAAGGAAAGACGTGTGTTTCGCTTCAAGGGCTTAGCAGCTAACCATACCCCTGGTTCCACCGGAGAGATCATCTGAGCTTACGGTAACATCATTACTTTTTCCATAAACGGCGTCTTCTGCTTGCTCATACGCAGTGTTTTGTCTCCCATGATTCCCTTCTTTGGCGGCGGTTTCTTTGGACGCTAGGTCACTGAATAACTGTGAAACTGTTAGAGCCCGTGAACGGGACATACCTTAAATCGCAATGGAACAATAGCATTATTAGACGCATGAGGTAATGCATTAGACTTGGGTCGGTGATCTCAAATTGCATTATAGGACTGTTATGGGTACTTTCGCGAGTACTTAATTTCGCGAGTAACTAGGAGCCGGATTTCTCGAGTACTAATTTTCGGGATTGCCAAAAAACTAGGGAAAAGCGTACTAAATTTCACGATTTTGTCTTCGTTTAATTTTCGTAAATCCTGAGCAGAGGGCACTTGTCACAAATCAATAAAACATACGTGTTTCAAAGCAAGATGGTAAACTTATAACTGCCTTATATAGAACCTTTAAGAAGAGAAAACATAACTGCTTGCTGTGTTGTATGCTATCTATGCAATGTATATCATACAGTTCAGTGCTTAAAATGCAACTTGAGATGTTCAGTTAATGTGCAAAGTACAAAAAAAACCCGGACTAAGAACAAAATTCTCACTGTTTGGTTTCGAAAATGGTATTAAATTTCGCGATTTTAAAAAAATCGCGAAATTTAATACTCGCGAAAATTAGTAAGAATAAGGTACGCTATCCCATTTACATGGGCTCAAGCCATCAAACACTCCCATAATGCAATTCGACACTACACCGGCCCAGTCTGATTCGCTAAATGGTCCATTGTGCAATCTGCATCGAGAAGGCCAGGGAACTAAACAATTGCCGGACACTTTTCGGTTCCAGTTCCCCTCTCGTTTCTAAAGTGGTGAATTAGGGCCTTGGTGACATTTTTCTAGATCTCAAAGGCCCAATAGACCTATTCGGCTAACTTAATGTTGTAACCAATTCAAACCCTTTGGGCATAAAACGTTTTGTTTCAGGAATTTCCGTATCACTTAAATGTGAATGCCACATTATAATGCAAATACAATACACAAAGAATCTTAACCCCGGGAGATCTGAATTGGGTACAACATTGAGTTAGTGGAATAGGTCTATTCCATCGTCCCGACTCATGTTATGACGGACGCCGAGTGACATTTTTCAACATTCAGACGTGAATCGAAAAAATATTTCATCCGACTTTACTAATACTTGTCAGTTAAGTTGGGCTACTACTCCTGTTTCGCATCAACGGAAATTGTTGTCGATGTAATACATTCACATATTTCCCCTCTAAAGCAAATGCTTTCTAAGGAAATTCCATTCTCGCACCTCGAGTCTTCGTCCCTTAATGCGCATGCTCTAGTCAAGGGGAACGAAGACGCTGGGTACGAGGGTGAGGAAATTCTTGTTAAATATTTTCGGTGGTCGCTTACGAGAGGTGGTCGGACATAAAAGACAGCAAAATTAGAAGAAGAAAACTTCTTTTATACTTACTTAAATTTGACGAAGCGCTCAGAGATCTTGGTCTTTGTGTACATCCACATATACTGCACGCCGCACCAAAGACTCGCTTGTAAGCCCACCTATAGCGCATGCTCATTGTACCATAAATGATGGGGTTGGCCAGAGCGTAGATAAGAGATACCATTCCTGTGAGAAGTACCACCAGTTTACTGGACCTCTTCTCTGTTACCAGGTTAACTATGTTACTTATCTGAAAAGAAAGTTTAGCGTTCTTGTTTGATTCAATCTCTGCTGTATTTACTGAGCTGGAAACCCAACTAGGGGAAAAAATGACTTCCAACAAAGTTTCTTTTTGGGTGGGGGAACAGGAGTCCAAACCTCCGACTTCCCGTACTTTTCATTCCCGGCTCTCGCCCCCTTATTCTTAACTTCTCTTTAGCGCTTGTTTGATTGCGAAACATCAAGCATTGCTGCATAATTTCCTCCCCGGAAGGGCATCCTCGGAGACCCAGGGGCAGATAAAGGGGGAGAGGGAAAGTCTAAACGGGCAGAAAAATATATATGGAACGAAGAAAAGTAAAGAACGCCGTTCTCTACTTTTCTTCGTGCCACATTTTTCCGTCCGTTTAGACTTTCCCTCGTCCCCACTATCTGCCCCTGGGTCTCCGAGGATGCCGGAAGGGTTACTTGGGTTAATTTTTGCTGGGTATGTGCCGCTGACCTCTCAGAGCCCCTACCCCATTATAGTCTATTCTGTGGCCAATTATAGACCCCATCTTAGTCACTTTTGGGCAAATATGTAATTTTCGCAACCCAACTTAGTCATTTCATAAATTGGCCCATTTCACGTAGATTGAATGAAGAACACTTTACTTTTACTTTTTATCTACAGTATAAACATTCTGGTACGTTTGCTAATCGTAAATATGAAGATCTGTCTTACCCCAAAAAATCTGGAAATGTGAGACCCCATCCTGGTAACTCTTTTGAAAATACGACCAGTCGTGAAAATGCGACCCCATCCAGCGGCACATCCCCATTAGCCTCCCTTAAGAAAGTACCCCCCCGATTTCCTCCTATCTATTCCGCTTTTCACCCTTTTAGAACTTCCACCTCCGGTCCCCCTCCCATCCCCTCCATCCCCCTATTCTCACAGTCTTTCACCCCTTGTCATCCAGGCCTCATCAATGAGTTTCTCTCAGCCCCCAGGAGGGGAACATGGGAGAGTACTTTCCTAAAATAACAATACAGATGTTTTATGGGAGAGCAGCCTATTGATAATCCTAATTAAGACGAGTTCGAGTACTGGTAAAAATATTCAACAAGAATTAAAACTTCACAATATCTACAGGGTATATAACTCTACCAGATCATAGCAGGGTATTGTTTTGAATAGAAAATCCTTCATTCAAAAACAAAACTAGACACCAAAACTCACCAGGATTGGAAGCCAGCTGATGAAGTAGAGGAACACCACTACAGCCATCATTCGAGAGAGTCTTCGGATTTCGCGCACACCAGAAGGGTTCCTTTTGCGTCTTTCCCTCGAGCGCTCACAGTACTCTTCGGGAATCGACCCTCGGGACACATCGTTTCCCGCGCGTTTATTTTTCGTGTCCATTGTTGTCTGTCTTCGTATAAACCTCGTACTTGACAACTTGATAGCAATCCAGCATATTAATACTATTGCTAAAAGCACGAATGACGTGGATACAATTAATATCGCGTATGTTCTGCCCAAGTCTGATAAGTGATAAAAACATTTCCCGTCTTCGAAGCCAGATTTTCCAACTCCCATGAAGGGGAGACTTGCAAAGAACACAGCCATGAGCCAATTAAACAAAACAGCTTTCTTGATTCGCGAAATCGTGATGTTTGTATGATATTTTAAAGGCCATAGAATCATTAATGTACGCTCTATTGTAATAAGTATAACAGTACCCGCGGAAGCGAAACGAAGAGTGTGCACCATAACAATGAAGAAACCGCAAAGAAATTCTGTCCAGTTCTGTTGGAGGAAATAATTCATGAAAATTACAATTTGAAGAGGAAAAGATCCGCCAACGAAATCAGCAGTGGATAACGACAGGAGAAGGATATCGGTAATGGCCCAGTATTTTTGCACCCGGAGAGACAGAAGAACCAAAAGATTTCCAAATACCACGGCTAGAATACCTGATTCTAGGATTAATCCAATGACGAATGGATTTAGAGAAGAGTTTTCAACATCATCATCAAGGTTTTTTGGTGTAGTAAGACCCAATTTCCTGGAAGATGTGTTGTTGGATATATCGGGAATTGTCGAGCCCGTGGAAGCCATTTTCTTGAGGTAATCAGTTGTCAAATTGCCATCCGGCCATTTCCATTGTTCTTTTCAAGTTGTTCTGTGGGTGAAATGGAAGATGATAACATTGATGCCTTATACAAAATAATGAACAATTTCATTCAGATCAGTGCGCGAAATGTTCATTTTCACAGCGTTAAATAAAGCATCAATAAAAAGACTTAGTCAAAAATGTGTTAAATAACCCGCTCGCTGTGCATGCACATCACATTGATCAGTTAGTCTTAAAGAGATGATAATTTAAAAACAATTAACGAGTGAGAACAGTAATCACTCACGTACAGTTACTCTTAAACTTGGCCGCTCCGTTAGATCGTTACAACAGATAATTTCCACAAAAGAAAGCTTGACAGTCCCTGACAGTCCTCTTCACACTGAAATAATTGTCGTATTGAAGAGGGGAATTTAAATTGCATTTGTTCGAGAGCAGACAATCTATTATGCTTGAGTGGAAATGCATTCCGACCTGTATTTTGATTTATTCCCGACAGCATCTGAATCGCTTCTTTTATTCTTTCCTTAACACATGAGAAAACATGTACAATGTTGTTTCAATATTTATTGAAATTTCAGTGGCGTCAACATGAGCATATTGGAGCTGAAAAATCACGATATTTTCAAAATTTAATAACCCTTTTTGAACATACTATGATCCTGAACTTGAAAAATTGATATTTCAGTACTGTGGAAACGTTTTTTGGAGCATTGAATTGAAGTTCCTAAAGGGCAATGCGCATGTCTGAGTGAGAGAGAGAGACGTGACCGGAAAACTGGAATACTGAACTTTTGAAACACCGGAACACAAAACTACAGGAAGCTGTGTAAATTTCAGAAAGGTGCGAGGAACCTTCCATCTCAAACCTTTGAGAAACGTTCAGGAAAGTTTCAGCCTCTTTACAATCACGGATGTTTTCCGTTTTGATATAGGGCAAGAGTGAAAGTTCGACAAAAATAAAAACAAACTAATCCTAGATTAATTTAATTACTTTTTTCATGTGTGGAATACCCTGCTGTTTATTTTGTTTACTTGACTGTTCATTATAAGGGTTATGTCATGTTATTTGCCATCTTTTTCAAAATGCCAAAACTTTTTTCGCACCAACTGAATTCCAAAAATAATGGTCCAGTTTTATCATTTAAGACTTCATTTAGGCAATGAAACTGTTTTCCGTTGTCCGTTGCAAAGGACGGCAAGGATGGACATCGATTAAATCTTGAAAAAAACTGGCTCCAACTTGTTTTAAATTTTAATGCTATGCTGCAGAAATCACCAAAAAAATATTACGGCTACATGATGGAAAGGGGAAAAAGCCCTTAGTGATGTTTTTAGCACAGAATTGACCGAAAACAGCAGTATCCCTGTCACATGGGTCCTTTAAGCCCTAAAAGCGATCAGCATCAAATTCCTGCTTGTGATATCAATGCTTTGTAAACAGAGTGGCCATGACAATTACGGACATGATCACACAGGGTGAATTTGCTTGTTATTTATAAACTTCTCCCCACAAATTCTGTAGGAAATGAATAGGGGCAACAAATGAGAATTCAAATTTTGATCTAAGGGTTAAAAGGGTAAACTATGATTTACTCAGAAGCAAATCAGTCCCTCATTCTCATTGACTGGGGATACACTAGTTGTCGGTCACATCAGTTTATATATAGAAAACAGAGAAAAAGCGGGTTTAAAACCAATAAATGACCGATAAAAATCGCTAAAGAGAGCTCTTATATTTGTATTTAGAAGTATTGGCAGTTTCTTAGGAGAAAAATAGGAGAAAAAGCAAACACATATATGAAAAATGGACAATTTTTCTCACTCTCTATTTCACCCAATATGGAAGACATTTTTCAACTTTCCTTGTCACTGTCGAGCGATACCAGTTTCGACTTCCTTTCCTCTTTCCCCTTAAAACAAATAAATTCACTTTGTCATGGTTTTTCTCAGTATAAATCACCGGAGACGTCACTAAAACCATCACAGAACGATCAACTCGCCTGCGGACAGATGGGCACTTTTTGTACAGTCGCGAACTCCGCTTTACGAACACCCGTATAATACGAACACCTCGTTATTACGAACAGTTTGCTTTGTCCCTGGGGAAAGAAAGCTCTTAGATTTTCTCTGAATTCAACCCGCTTGATGCGCACACCCGTTGATACCGACACTTTCTATGGCCCCCACAGAGTTTGACTATACTTAAGTCCGTTTTGCGGTCACCCTGAAGGTAGTTCTAAAGCTGAGTACGGTATATGAGTAAAATCCTCGCACGACTATTCAATTGAAAACTGCCAAGTAGGACGTTTGTGTTTTCAGTGCAGCTGCTTCAAAAAATGATTAAAACTTAAAACCTGAGGCTGAGGTTTTGAACTCAGTGTGGCCTCCGTCATTTGGAAGAGCGGAAATTACCTGAGAGATAATCTGCTGTGCCGTTGGTGACGTTTTTGCCTTGTTTTAGGTGAACGCTTTCCAATGGCGCGGAAAAATAAACTTGAGTTGACAATGGACAGATTTTGAGACACTTTTACGGGTCAATTCGAACCACGCGACCAAGCGTTCTTACGAGTCGTTTATCACTTGAGTGATAATCTTTCGTGCCGTTTTCGACCTTTTTTTAAAACCTTATTTAAAGTGAACGTTTCCAACGGCGGGGAAAAGTAAACTTGAGTTGACAATAGAGAGATTTTGAATCACGTTTACGGAAAACGGAAACGTCAATTTGTACCACGTGACCAAGTTTTCTCTACTTCACTGGAGTCGTTTACTGTTCATTATCACCTACAAAGAAATAAGTGGTTTTATGGTCGTTTCATCCATAAGGGTGATTTTGCACAGCTTTTTCTTCTCATTTCTTAATTTGAGAAATTATCTACTTGAATCCGTCCCACGTTTTCCATTTGCCGCAAAACATTCTTCTTCTTCTCCATAGTAATGCTCGTTTTGAGTTACGGTGCGATATGCTCGTTGATAACTGAGATATGAAGTGATGTCCCCTTGGCATAACAGAAGTTTTTTAGATCTTTGATTCGTTTCTAGAATGAAGGTCGAAAACAACCTTGCGTTTTAAATAATAAATATCGTTAGTTCCCAAAAGTTTAACATGTCTTTTACATTCAGTGAAAAAAGAAGAATATATCAGTTGAAAATCACTTGCTTAGAGTACTATATTTCTAATTTAGAAAACGATTGTCGTTTGTTGCCAGTATTATAAAGTATAAACAAATAAACTTGATTTGTTTACTCACAAAAAAACCCTCAAACCTTTTAAGAAGTTTGCTCAGAGAAAGGAAAACTACCAACAACAAGCTTCGTTCATTTTGATGTGTCTTCTCCATAACAACAATTTTCAATGATGATCACAAAAAGTAACTCCAGGGCATGACGGAGAATTTTTCCTTTCTTTCAGCGAGTGTGAAAGCCTTTCATATGAATGATTCACCCATACATGTCTTTTGAACAAATATGAACAATTTCAAACTAATTTTAGTAAATCAAGAGTTGTGGTTTTAAGGAAATGTTTTCATGGAGTTTGCGTCACTGTTGCTAAAACACACCTACATTTAATAATCACCGCTGTTAATGCTATCATGCTGGTTATATTTGTTTCAACAATAAGAAATCATTTCCTTTCTATCAAATTTTAAAAATGCTAGTGAGACATTGAGCCCTATCACCTCTAGAGGTGAACAAAAGTCAAATTCCCAAAAAATTATAATTTTCATTTTGTAAAAAATTTAAAAGCAGATAGTTCCATGTGAAAGTATTCCCAAAAAGATTTCATTTGAATGGTCACACTTTAGGATTTCATTTAAAGACTCAAAAGTTAGAATCACCACGTTCAGCGGCATAATAAACAGTACCACAGGAAAGTACTGCTCAGTAGCTTTCATTTGAATGGTCACACTTTAAGATTTCATCCACACGCTCAAAAGTTAGAACCACATTACGAGACTCCACCATTGACAAAAGCTAATATAGCTGTAATATACCCAAGGACCCAAGGATTCTGTCAGTTGTTGTAAAGTGATCACCATACAAATGGCTCTGTGTACTTAGTTGAAAATTGTTTACTTGTATTAGTAAAAGAGAGAAGCATAATGGGTTATTCCTCATGCACGCATTTGACTTAGGAAAACATCGATATTGGACTTGTCAAACTAAGAGAGGGCACAACCGATAACGCTTTTTAAAACCAATTCTTCACACACTCGCATGTTACTTCTGGGTTAGAAGAGAAAAAAGATCTTAAACTGACGAAATAAACTGAAAAAATATGAGGAAGAGAAAACGAAAAAACGGTGGATAAAAAAAATTCACAAATGGGAAATAAAGAAATAAATTTCGAGGAGTGAAACGTGAAATAAAAAGGAGCCGTGGAACATAACTAAGTATCACGAAAATGCCCTCATTGAGATCTAAGGTGGCTTCAGATCAAATCATTAAGATGCTATATAAGCCACGGCGAGATCATCATCCCTTGCCGTGAATAAGTATAATAGTTTTATACGAAACAAAAGAATCATGCAGTACAAGCACTGATTACTAAAATTGTTTCGATAATTTATATTCATGGGATAATAACTTCTCGTATTCTAAATACATAAAACATACTCTAAAACGAATGGTTTGTTGGCATGGCCTATCACACCTAACGATGATTCAGTTCGAAAATTTTAGTCCAGGTACGAAATACTATAGTGTGACCATTCAAACGAGACCTCTTCGGTACTTTTAGGCCGGCCTATCACATCTAACGTGAATTATTCATGCTGTTGTAACTTTTTAGTCCGGGAATGAATTTATATAGTGTGACCATTCAATTTCGATTTTATGGATGTCTTTCTTTTACTTTGGCCCACCACTTTTGGGAGTCATGGTGGTTTAGATTTACCTACCTGACCTGTCATAGAAAGGAAAGTCAGGCTTCCTCTGTTTAATTTTCGACATTAACAGGAAGTATTTGAAAATGTGGTGTTCCCTCTCAAATAACGTTTTCCGGAGGTTCATTTGAAACTGCAAAATACCTGACACTCACTGCCTGATTAAACTGTTAAACACTGATTGACTGATCTTCCAAGTGTTTGAAACGAAGCTGTGAATAAAATCCACGTGTATTTATCAAATTTTTTAACTACTGAACATCGCTTGCTCGAGTCTAAACTATAATTAAACACAATTACCTTACCTCGCGCATTTCTCCTCTGAGGCAACTCCTTTCTTTCCTCCGGAATAAAAAATGTTCCACCTTACTGCTTTTACTTGAAATCAGACCATCTTTACTGTAAATTGGCGCAGGTTCCTTTTTCTCTGTTATGATCGTTGGTAAGTCGTTAAAAGCCTAAAGAAACAAACAAAGGTGAAAGCGATTAGAGTACAAAAAGCTAAAAGCGTCATTATGCAGATGATTCTCTATTTACAATCTCCCACCTGTCACATCGTACAAACCTAGTTTAAAATTACGTGAACCGCAACACGGAAGCCTTTGTCTATGTGTGGCTGTTCATTAGAGGTATTGTTTCTACTTCTGTTATGGTATCAGCAGTCTCCGCTCAAATGTTTCTCCAGGTCTCCCTCGCCCGGAGAAGCTGAGAGAGTCCAGGAGCCCATAGCCAGGAACGTGCAGCTCCTATACTTAGCCTATGCAACAGCGTTTTCACAAATCAAGTTATTTTTAGCATCATTTTTGGGCACTTTTTCCGGCGGAAATGGACGCACCGTTCCTTATGCTTGCGCATCGATAGTACAATAATTACAAAAAGAACAAGAAAATGCTTTCAAAATATCAGAGATACTTTTTTCTAGTTTCCATTTTTTGCTGAATGATTTGTAATTGAGAATTATTTGATATTCAAAACTCGCGGGAAAATCGATCTAAAAATCAATATAAACTGGTCTATGAAAACGGACACGTTGTTGTGTGCTCACTCTAAGTTATGGGCTCTGGAGAGTCTGAGTGCCTTTGGCAAACACTCCGTTACCTTCGTTGATAGTACCTTTTTGCTCGCGAATCTACGGTGGCCCACAACTGTCACGGCAAAAACAAAATACCTCACGGCAAAACCGAAAACCTAACGGCAAAAACAAAAACCTCACAGGAAAACCGAAAACCTCACGGCAAAAACAGAAACCTCACGGCAAAACCGAAAATTTTGTTTATTTTGTTTTTGCCGTAAAGTTTTTGGTTTTGCCGTGACGTATTTTGTTTTTGCCGTGAGGTTTTTGGTTTTGCCGTGAGGTTTTTGGTTTTGCCGTGACAGTTGTGGGTCACCATACGAATCAGATTCTAATTCTGAAATATGACTTCTACGCTGATATCAAACTTATTGTCTGAAGCTGTGCTCTTTATCTGTAGACGTCACAGGAGTGACAACGACCGGTAAATTTTTAGCCGTCAGTTAGCATGTCTTGAAAATCTCACAGACGTTCAGCAATAAAAGTTGACCTTGTGAGAAAAGATCCGCCTACTACAAAGGTTAACGAAACTTTGGTCCTCCGCAATGGCTGTGTTGGTTTGCTATTTGCGGGTCGAGATGGAAAAATGATGTGCATGAAATAAAGTAAAGTGTGTGTGATTTATCCCAATAGACGCTACGAAGGAAAATGGCGGACGCTATGCTGTTATCTTCGAATGCAACTACTGAGAATTCAGCATCTGTTCTTTCAAATACTTAATTTGGAGTAGAAACTTTTCACAGAACGGCAGCAACTATACTTTTTCTAGGAATGTTTTAGAGCAACGTTGTCGCAGTTTTAGCATAATAAACTTCGGGAAATAGGAGGCAAAAGGTCGCCAACTTTATGTGATTATCTAGCATATACAAGCCACCTTAAATTGGTTGCACATTATCAATTTTCATTAAGCTTGAGGTAAAACAGGTCAAAACCGTTCTAACTATCGCTGTTTCAACAGCCCCTTGGCGAGTTTTATAATTCAACTGTCACATAATTTTAATACCCGGCTCATTTAATACGAGGAACAAACTCGCTTTTCTGTGCTTGACATAGATTTTAAATAACGTTTATTAAGTTGCCTACGTATATTGACGGCAAACGAAAAAGATGAAAGCCACTCTTTTGACGCATTAAATTGTATTAACAAGGCTGTTTATTAAGAGTGGCACTCTTTGATTCCTTCTTTCATCCAACGTGCTTTTAAAGAGTTGAAAAGGCCTAATGCAAACAATCTAGACCATGTCAAAAATAGTAATATACACGCGACAAGTCTATTTATTATGGTAATGTCTTTATATATTCTTGCTTTAAAAGCCGGATCAATGTCTAATGACCGAGGACGTCAGTACTATAAGTAAACACTGAAAAACGTTTAAGCGTAGGAGTTTCAGTAGCTAAAACGATAAGCAAAAAACAAAAAAAAATTAAAATCACAGACGTGTTGTTATCACAGATCATTAAAAGTAAAATCCTTGTCGATTCAGTTGTCTTATCAAAATGAAAACTTCACGAGTTTCCCGGTAAAACTATAATTTAATTTTCTGGAAAAAGTACTGAAAATGTGACCAAAGAGTTTGAGAAGCTTTTTCCGTGGGAAGAAATGTGTTTTAGACTTCTTTTAGGTTCAATTTTGAAGCTTTCTTAACACTAAACTTAGCCATTTTTAGAAATGTTTGCGTTTCGTCTTGTTGCTAAGTAGGTGACGAGTAATTTATCTTTTATTCAGGCCATTGACAGCGTCTTGTAAAAGAGTTGACGAATTCCGACTGTTTACACAAGGGTGAATGATCTAAGAGTGATTTGTAGCCGGACGACTTGAAACAACCCTTTTCAGTTTATTACATTTTCAAGGTCTTCGAGCAAGCAGTCGCCTACATCCTTAGCTATCCTTGAAAGATTCAACGTAACGCTCGACACCTCCACCATATCATGGCAACCCAACCAACTCAAACAAGAATCTTTACTCTCCCCTTCGCTGACGAAGTACTGAGAAACTTCTCAAGCAGCACAGTAAATGCGACAGACGCGAGGGAAAACTTAAACGCACTCATGACCGCGTTAATTCTTCAGTCCGTCATAATTATTGTCGTTTTTGGCAACGCCTTAGTTCTTGCGGCGTTGGCATCCTACCGCTCTTGGACATCTGCAGATATTTTGCTGTTCTCTCTTTCCTTAGCAGATTTCTTGGACTCTGCTTTAGCCGTCGAGCTCATAACAGTCGTAAGGTATTTTTTAGGACAACAGATGGCTAAACCTATGTGCGATGCGTTCGTAGCTTTGGTCTACACTTTTCGAATGGCTTCTTCGTTTACCGTGACTTGTATTGCAGTCGAGCGCTCTCTTTTATTACAGTTTCCATTAAGACATCATACACTTGTGACGCACTCGCGAATTAAAAAGTTCGTTGCAGGCATCTGGCTTTTCTCAATATTTTCCGCTTTTCTACCGCTTATTGGTGTTGGAAACTCTGGGTTTAAGAACGGGGAGTGCTTTTCACAACTCTACGACCTGGGCAAAGCGTACGCCATTTATATAGAGACTTACGGTGCAATCATGTTTCTAACGGTGTTTGCATCGTATTTCACGATCAAGGTCTCCGGGATCAAGTTTATTCGAAGACAGACATTAATGAGAGGGCACGGAGGAGCGAGGAACCAATCAACCGTGTACAGTTGCCGAGGAAGCGTGCACAGTCCCGGAAAAACGAGCGGCGTGCGGAGCGTGCGTAAGCTAGCCGTTATGATGGGGATAGTCGTGATTATTTACTACATCAGCTGGCTGCCGTTCCTGGTAAGTTACCCTGGGGGAGATCAAGTTACACCTCGGAGAATTCTCTGTACATACCCTAAGGAAAAAGGTCTATGGCTGAATGACTGCCACGACGCTAGAGACTCTTCTTTATTCAAAACTCCAGCTGCATGGCTTTCTAGAGTCCACGCCTTAAAATAACCTTGGGGAAGACACATTATCCCTCGAGCACATAAACCCAAGGGAAAAGTATTTGTGCTATAATTATTAGTATTTGTCCCACAATTATTCCCACCATGATAGAAAATCTCCGTTACTTATCCACCAGCATTCTGGAAGTTCATAACATTAAATTACAAAGGGGGACAATAAGTTTTCCAAGAGGGGAGGGGTCGTCTGTACACAGGCTAAGGTTTTCCCTCTTGGGACAAAACGAAAAAACCCTGGCAGTATACCCAGTGTTGTAGTAAACAAACGCTTCAACCTAGGTGTGGATTCCTGATAGTTAAAATAATTGATATATGCTTTTAAGTGTAAACATGAATAAACTTTTAAGCTGAAATGACATTTTAATTAAAATTAAACGAACATACCGCAGCTGTAGAGAACTGTCAAGGAACCTTTCTAAAAACATAAACAAAACATAGATTATTCCCTCCAATTTATTACCTCAATTCTAATCATTGGATAATATATAAATTATAAAAGAAACAATTTTTGAAGTAAATCAGTTTTGAACTGTTGACTGTTAACATTTAAATACGGCACGAGAGGGTGAGGAAAGCTACTCTCCCATACAAACTACATCCCAAGTACGCTTGTCCATAAGTATCCATCTTCAGTTTCATTTAAGAAGGGATTATTCCCGAACGTCTGTAATTCATCATGCGATCACATTCTGTAGAAGCACAATTTTTTACCCATGACATTATTTAATTTGACTGCTTTGCAGCAAACAGTTTCCGTCAACGATTCCTCTTTAGCCCGATAACTGGAAAACGTTATAGCTCTGACTAACAAAAACACGCCAATGAAATTGATTTAAGAGTCTTTATAGCCAATAATATTACGGCTCAACCGTCAGACGACCAATAACATCGCGACTTAATCGACCAATCGGGTCAATAACCAAAGCTAAATACCATGAACTGACGCGATACAACTCGGCCCTTTGACTCCAAAGATGACTAACGCACAGGCGTTTGCAGCCAAACTGTCACCGTCAGCAATAGTCCTATTCAGGACTACGATCGCCCGGACGATCATGCTTCACCTACTTACGAAATGACTCCTAGGTTCAAACTTTTCACACAAAAAAATGTGTTTCACCGTTTAAAATGACTAGCTTACTTACTATTTACCTCTCTTTTATTTTCAGTTGAACAACTTGTTTTGCTTGATAGCTGACCAACAGCCATCACCGAAGATAGTTCTGTTGACAACCCTCTTTTCTTTCCTTCACGCCCTCGCTAATCCACTGCTGTACGGTTGGATGAGCCAACGGTACAGGCGCGGTTACATTTTCGTGTTCAAAATGGTGCTGAGTGCGTGTGGAGGGCACCGCCCAGACAGGAGAACACTTGGTGAGTTTGACCACGAATTAGAAGTCAGTTTTATGCAAATATAAATTACTGTCACGCAAAAAAAAAGATCTTTAGTTAAGTGTATCTAGCCGTTGAATTATTGGCTTCTTCAAAACCAAAGAACTATGAGACGCAGAATTAGCAAAATAACATTGCCTGTCCGTGCTTGTCTCATACTAACGCCTCTATTCTAAAGTCATGGAAGTCGGAAGTTCTAACTCAACGGGTATGAGGTATGTCACTGAGCATGCTCGAAAAAGGGTCTTTGAATAACAGGGACCTCAAAATGTGTCTCACAAGACAATCATTGTAATTGATTATATGCGCACACTTTCTAGGCATGTCTTGTCGCTTTAGCACTGGGCCGAATCTCACCCGACAGCCATCGGCAACGGATATCACTGTATACAACAGCAGACTGTCCTTACAGGTTGTGGACCACCGCCCAGCTACAACCAATGGGGAAAAAGAAGGTAAATGCGGTCGACCAGAGGAGATGGCAATCCTAATCTTAAATGCATGTAGCCAGTATTTGCTTGGACTTCCGCTAAGAATGAATAGATTGCATAGAACGCAATCTGATCATGCGCGTTTGGAACTTCTATCACGTGAAACTTAAGCGAAGAAAAGTGCTGGAGCAAGTGCGTTTTAACCTTCGATCGATCTCATCCGTACTCCTAGCCTTTAATTTGCGCATAAACTACGCAGGAGTAATAACGGTTCACTCGTGACAGTCAAAATGGACTTGAGTGTGAGCAAGCCATGGGTCATGATCTCTGACCAAAAATGGGACAAGCCACAATAGGAAATACTTCTGCGCCTGCGCAGGCTATAATCATTTTTTGAGAGCCTTTTTTGACCTACTTTTTCCCGAAATAACACTTCAAATTTGAAATTGTACAGCTCGCGTTTTGAAGCGTTAGTTTACATTTTCCCCTAATTTTCCTTAATAAAAGTCACGTTAAACAGTTTTCACGTACTTTTTAAGTGCCACAGTAACGTTTAGGAAGGCTAGGCTACTTTGAGTGAACTTCTTTTACTACAACCAGTTCAACGCTTTACTCGCGTCTTTGAGTGTGGTAGGTTTCATATCCGTGATATGTTTTGTTTCACCGACGCGCTAATTATGGGCACTTCACATGCGAAAAATACGGTTAACAATGCTTCGGAAATCTTCGGGAATTTTTCGAATGGCCGCTCGTAAAACCTTTAGACAGCATTCCAACAGCATTTAAAAATCTTGGAATGTATTCGTAAAATCTTGAAAAATTCTGACGACAACAAAATAACTATGCCAAACTCGATTCTCTTTACCAACAGATAATATATATCTGATAGAAAGAACGCTTCAACATAAGATGGAAATTTCTCGAAGCTTTGCTTTACTGTTTTCTTTTATCATTTGTTATAGACCACAGTTTGAATAACAACGTCGTTCCAAGTGAGCCTGGGAAGAACAAAGAAAAGGGTGATATTCCAAGAAACAACAACGAGGAACCATGTTCCCATGGAAACCAGGAGGCTACCACTGTTGAGGTTGAAAACAATCTGGGCGTGAACAATGCAAGCCTCGTTTCTGCGGAGGTGATCCAGTTATTAGATGCTCTCTTAAACAGAATAGAAATGACGTCGAATGCACAAGTCGAATTCGCCGAGTTATGAAGACTTTCCTAGGGAGATTGAATATATTCTTTCACATTTTTTTAAAGTTTTTGTTTGTTTGTTTACTTTTTTCACATTACAGTGTCATAGAAGACAAAATGCGAATATGGGTGTAGTTCTCTACTGAAGGTTAGGTTCATAACTGTAGTAACTCCCTACGGCAATAAACACATCGAGGACTCAACAACTCGACAACATTGTATCACAAGATGGCGGATCGTACAAAGCACATGGTCTTGTACTCGAACACGAGACGAAAGCGTCACTTCCGGTACACTACAATAACCATAATCCCCTCCTCCCCGGGACCATAATACAGTGAACAAAGAATTAAAGTTCTTTGTGACGTCCCGAATGTGAACGATGTATTATTACACAAAGATCACTGTTTAACCGTTTTAAGTTGATGGTTCTCTATCGGCTCTATTGTGTCTGACTGTTCTTTCGTCAAATGCTTTTCAATTGGTTCAATGTTGGGTTGCGGTTCTAGAGAGATCAGGTGTTTATCGATCGCTTCATGTGGTTTTATCTTTTCCATGTCTAAAACATGTTCCTTTATATCTCCAACTTCTTTCTCTGTTTGAAATTTTTCCATTAAAGGCTGGATCGGATCGATGGGTTTGGGAGGAGGAATAGCCACCCTCTTTTTTGACAATTTAGAATGTGCATAATGATGTCTTACTTTCTTGTCCCTGTTGTTTTTGTCGGAACTTTGATTGGTTTTTTCCTTCTCGCTCTCTTGTCTTTTGACCTGGCTAGATCTAAGTTTAAGAGGGTGTATGCTCTTTGTCTCAAGAAAGTCACCCGGATTCGAGGCGACAAATTCTCGCCGCCTTGCATCTGCAGTAGTTTCATTGCTACTACTAGCTGTAGGATTAGCGTGACTAGAGTTGGTGTAACCAATATTGGCGTCACCAGGTATAAAGTCAACGGAAGTAGCGTAACTTTTTTCCAATGGCTCTTCTTCTTCGAAGCTAAGGGGTATCTGCATGCTGGTAATCTCTTCTATGCCAGGAATTTTCTCGTTTTCACTCATTTCACTTCCAATCGGAGGCAGCGACGGCAGATTCTTAATAGTCTTCATTTCATCACCGATTGATCCCATCGGAGTTGGTGATGTTACTGAAATAGTATCGATTGCCGGTATACTTGTCGGCTGTGGAAAACTGTTCGGTGGATCTAGCGAATACGAGGCTAGATTCTGCGGACCATCTGCTGTATACGTATCACTTGGTTCACTGCTCTTTGCCGAGCTGACATTCGAGGGAGCAGAGAACTTTGTTCTTAGATCAAGTTTCCTATTAACAAAGGGTAAGTTTTCTTGAGCGTATGTAGAGCTCGGAGTCGTGTTTCCGCGCGCGGTTCCATCTTCCGTGGGTGCAGCTGATGTGGGGATAACGTAGACGCTTTCTAAGACACCACCAAGGTGAGGTCCGATCTGGTTGCCTTCGGTATCTAGGAGGATAGTTGTTGAAATTTTGTCAAAGACCAAGACTTATGAAGTGCTTTTCTGAAAGTCCTCCGCATGTGATATCCACACTAACATTTCACAAATATTTTAGTGCTGGACTTATAATTATCAACTCAAGAAGTGACAACCGCCGGAAATTGAAAAAGGGAATTCGTACATCCATTACTGATCACGTGTCCTCTTTTTCGAGCTCTATTGGCTCCTCTCTTCGCGAGAATGACGACGTCACTCAGATTAACCCACCGGTAGTAAAATTGCTCATTTGAAATTTAAATTTTCTGGACCACGCCCTTTTTGCCCATATATGGGCATGTAATTTAAGATAGTAATGATATGTTCTGCTCTCTGATTGATAAGTGTATGAGACTAGCGAGGTTAACTTCACTGGTATAAAGTCAAGGATCAGGTATTTAACACCTTTAAGCACGCTAATAAACAATGTGGTGACTACGTGCAAATTAAAATTGAACAACTTGAGTTGTTTTGTTAGAAATTCATATTTCTCTGTTGACTTGGAAGCCATGCATTTGGGTTTCGAGACTATTCCTTGCAAGACAGTTCTAAAGAATATTACAACAATACAAAGCTCTGTTCTCCCGATTGTAAATTGCTTATGCACTTACCTGAATTGTAGGCCAAATAGTTTCCGTAAAGTCTAGGATTTTTTATTGAGCATCCCTTAAAACGTAGACAACAAACAGAAGAACAGTTACCAACACCAAAAAGCAAAACAAACTTTTAAAAAACGAGTAAAGGGTGATGAATTTTGGTATTTACCTTGAAAGCGAGATGGAGAGTCCATACCAGAATTGTCAGCACGTTGCTAAACGATACCGTTGGTTTCATTTTCTCTGGTGAAATTTTGTTTTTCGCTGTCCACTTAGGCGAAGATGTTTAAGCATTTTTCCTTAAAGATATTTTAGTGTCGTCGCACTCGAGGAAGACATTTGTGAATTAGAAGAAAATGACAACCTGTTCTGTTCAGCAGGTGTTTAAGTTTCAAGACGACCTTGAACAGGGAGGCATATTGAATTACCTGTCATTGTTTAACCCAGGAATATCTATATAAATGTAACTGATTTTAGCAGATCCTTCTTTTTCTAAAGGGAACCACAAAAGGAACCACAGCGCTACAAGAGCTGGCTCGTTCCCAGTCTGCCTCTCTATTTAGTTCGCACGCGGAGGACCGAACGCGAGAAGAGTGACCGAAGGGAACGCGAGGGGTGATGGAAATTTCTTCGTTCCCATCACCCCTGACGCTCCCCTTGTTCCCGCATCTCTCGTTAATAGGCTGATTTAGCAACAGTTGACGACGGCGCACGCAAATCAAACAACTGGAATGACCAATCGCAGAGAGGCAAATTGAGCACCGGAAGTCGCGTTTAGTCCTTTCCACGCGCTTTCCCGTCGTCGACGGACGTTCCCGTTCTTTTGCTAAATCAGCCTAATATTAATGAGAGACTGAGAGACGACTGAAGACCAGTAAGCTACAAGGGTCTTTCGAGTCCCACTGTTGTTATCCGGAATGCTATACGGTGTTGACGAATCCAAACAATTAAAAAAAACAAGGACACAAATCTACTACTGACCGGGTGATAAGGTTTGTGTGTGAGATGCTGGGTTCGACTGGGACTCTTGCTGTTTTGTTTTATAATTTAATTTTCCTTATAAGAATGAGTAGTAAACTAGTCAGTACCGCCAAACAACTTTCTACTGGGTAATCTGGAGCCGTTATTGCTGAACCGGTGTTACTTCACCCCAGGCTTCCCTGTTTGCTCCTATCCGGCTGCCGTGGTGTCATGGCACGAATGCTCTAAATCCTTGTCTTGTTGACACGACACTCCACTGTGTGACCTTCGACCGACAAAAGCGGCGATACATCACCGCTGTTTAGTTCCTCTTCCAGATTTTCAACCTCTAACGCACCTTGCTCCGATGAATCCATGCCGTCCAAATTCGCAAGTGACTGCTCAGTGATCTTACACCCAGCACCTTCGTTCTCATCGGTCAGCGGACGAGAGAGCCTGCTGCTCAGTCCCGGTCGAACCCAGCACCTCACGCACAATCCTTATCACCCCGTCAGTAGTGGATTTGTTATCCTTGTTTGGATTTGTCAACACTGTATATTCGGCTGCCGTGGTGTCATGGCACAAATGTTCTAAATCCTTGTCTTGTTGACACGACACTCCACCCTGTGACCTTCATAAGGTGACCAACGTTTTTAAGTCAGAGAACCCTAACTCCAATCCAAGTAAGTCCATCCTTGCCTAGTCCTTAAAGGGCGTTTTCCCAGGCCTTCTCTGTCAATTTGCTTTGGTGATGTATCCAAGGCGATTGGACCACGTGACACTAAACGCAATGTCCGCTGGGAATAATGAGGCCTATGGACTAGGTTAAGCCCAAACTGGTTCCCAGGATTCTCTCCTACCCGTCCCGACTGGCCCTGGGAACGAGGTTAAAATAAGCCAATTTTAATGCGTGAAAGAAATAAATCATAAAAGCCCCTCAAAATCCTGGATAAGTTTAAATATATTTAATTCTTACGACTATAAAAATAATTATCTTTAAACGTGCATGAGTCGTTAACATTCCAAAAATAAAGTTAGATTCATTGAACTCGTTTGTGCTTTTCCATGTTAGAACCATTTATCTTTCCGACAACTTTAGCTGCATGTCCTGAACCTCAATATTTCCTTTTTCACGTTCTCAAAGCTGTTTCTCGCAAACTTTTCTGTATTCTTGCAATATTAGCGTCGAGATTTTCCAATCCTCTTCGAAAATCCTCCTCTTCACCCGACAAAAGCGGCGATACATCACCGCTGTTTAGTTCCTCCTCCATATTTTCAACCTCTAACGCACCTTGCTCTAATGAATCCATGCCGTCCAAATTCGTAAAGGACTCCTCGCTGATCTTATACCCAGCTCCTTCGTACTCATTGGTCAGCGGACGGGAGAGCCGCCTGCTAGTGAAAGCAGGAGAGGGGTCTGGTTGCGACACTAATCTATCGGCAAATCGTAAATGTTTTTTGCCCTGTGCCACAGGACGCTGATTTTGAGTCCTCCGTGTCAAAGTCTCGTCGCTGCGGTCAATCGTTTGAGGAATTTTGCGATTAAATAATCTCGGAGAAGCAGTATTGTTGCTGTTACCTGTAATAAGTGACTTAGCCTCAGCGGGAGATAGCCCCAGAGTTGTTGGTTGTCCTCTGTACATAACGAACATGAACAAACCATCAGCAATTTTGCAAATAAAGTCCCAAATACTGCCAAAAATTTTTTTAAGGTGTCATAGCGACAAGCTTTCCAGGTATTAACAAATCAACGGAGTAACAGATCTAACCAGGAGCTAATAGAACATACCAAATAAGCCGGCAAGAGTACTACGGAGCGCCAATTCTAACGCTCGAACGCTGCCAATCCTGCCCCATTCATCATGGCGGACACTTCGGGAATCAAAGACGCTGTAATCTCTTAGTCTTCTCAAAAACAGTACAGAAAACGCGCAAATGCGCGGAAACTCGACGCGTCTCAGCTTTGTTAGACTCCCACATAAACCTTCTTCAGGCCCGCGTCCCTCGAAATTTAGTTCCATCGAAAGGAAAAGTGCTCAAATGTACTTACATTGTTTTGACGTCTCTCTTAAGCAGATTATCCAGGCCGTCAAAAGAGACGGGGTTATCCAATGAACCGCTTTTTATGTCCTTCGGTTGAAACTGCTGAATGTCAGACAGAAGACGAGTCAGGGACTGCTGAAGGCCCCTGTCGAGTACAAAATACGACGTTTACACGAAGTGTCGCGCTGCAGATTCCGCGGTGAGATCCACCTGGCACAGAGAATTTTTACACGATTGCAAACGAAATGTAAAAAAATTATTCGAACTTCTAGGAAAAAAAGAGAGTGAGAGCCGGGAGCGGCTGAGGGAAATGTTAACTTGGTTTTGCGTTCACTACTCTCGCTTTCGCCTATGTTAATGTAGAGGTCCACATACTCCAGACACTTCGAATAAAACCGCCTTTTTGTAGTTCATGCTAGCTGTAAAGGAACAACAAATTTTCGAATGATAAACTTTTTTCGAGTTAAGATTTAGCTCACACTTTGATTTTGTGATAAAATCAAGGAATCGCGTTTTGCGGCATGGCTTCATGAACAATACCAAAGGAAAATACTACTTAGTAGCCTGCCTTCATGTATTGAACAGTTATTATAATTGCAATCACAGACTGGAAAAAGTAGAATGACACTGCACAGCATAAAAAAAAAGAAATTGAAGAAACTAAAGGTGCCACAGTAGCTTTCATGAGAAGCAATTCGTCCCGGAACCAATTCAAAGTAAATTAAACAGTACCGTAGAAAAGTACTACTTTGAGTGGTTACACATATCAGGATTTTAAACAAACTCACAACATTCGAACACGAGAGAAACTTGTCGAACTTCAATACTTAATTCTCCACCTTAGAAACAAGAGGGAAACTGGGGCGAATTAACTTTCGCAAAGACTTTTGGGACTGCTTCAGAAGCGATCCCAAAAGTCCTTGCGAAAAGGAGTTAAAATTACAAAAAATACACATCATTTACCTGGTAAGTTCTTTGAGTCTCTCGATTTCTGCGTCCTTTTGCTTCAAAGAAAGGTAAAGTATATTGACCTCTTTCTTCTCTGCTTCAGAGGAAAGGTGGGCAGCTTCAAGATCTGACTTCATTCTTTTATTTTCTAAAATGAAAGAAACCCTGTTACAAGGATTTCTCTGGCATTTCTTTGTCGACCTCCATTTCTTAAGACCGTCTGAAGTTTTTAGTCGCAGCCTCGAAACTGTGAGAAGCCTGGTTTCCACCAGCGCGACAGGCGTTCTTATTTCGTTTTGAGCCACGCACGTCGACCGAAAATGGACTTTTTGCACTCTCGAGCCGTGTTTTTGACCAAATTATTGAGCAGATGGTCTCTATAAGAGTAAACACAGTTATAAATACAAATTTGGTATCGTCAAGGCATATTATAAGAGAAAAAGGTTCACTTTCGGTTGACGTGCGTCGCTCGAAAACGTCGCTGTTTAAACTCCCTGTTAAAACTTTTGTAATTTTGCTTCCATCTGCAGCGTTGAATCGTTGGCTCCTGTGTAGACGGCGGTTAATCTCTTTTTCTTCATATCTCCGTATATCATGCGTTTCACTCGACTGACTGAGAGAAAAGAGAGGGAAAAAGAGAGACTGTTCGTGGTGTCTATATCCTGGGTTGCGCGTGCGTCGGTGTTTGTAAAAGTATTCGTTTAACTCTATTGTATTTTGACGCTACAGAAAACCAGGCTTTATTTAACAGATGGCTAACTGGACGATAACGTTATTTAACTCCATAATAAAAGTGCACCGAAACGGGAAAATAAACCTCACGAAGAAAAGAACCGTCCCGTTAAAATCTTACCAACAGTCAACTTTGATGCATCTTGCTGCCAATCTCTTTTTAACCGCAACAGTTCTTGTTCCTGTTTTGGGTTAAAACAACAAAATAGGAACGTTACGATACGTTACGTTAGGTTACGTTTTTTTAGCGGAGCTCCTTGCTCGCTCGCGCGCGCTTGAGCGGAGTCCCATAGCTAAGACAATTTGGTAATAAACCTCACGATCCATCCGCGAAAATTTGGTTATGACGTCAGCGTAAGACCGAACGCTGGCCGTACAGACTCTAGGGGAGGGGGAAGGGAGTCCAAAGTCAGCCCGTCGGAGGACGAGTATGTTAAAGCTGAGATGAAATTTTGCATTTCAAGCACCCCGCTCGTTTCGGCGGTAAATCACATGGCCGCCAGGACTTTTAGAGAGAAAAAAGCAACAACAACAAAACGAGTCTTTCTTTCCACCAAATTTTAATATCCACATTGACTTGGATCACAGGGAAAGAGCTAGAGCGAAAAATAAATAACAGTGGAGACCAATTTTGTTGGTAGAAAAACATGAAAATTATATAACGGCGGTGAGAAAATGAGAAATGCTTGCGGCTACCAAGGTGAAAACCAGCGGCAGTGAACAAACAAAGTGAACAGGAACACAAACATTTCCTCCATAAAATGTATGAATAGGAAGTTAAAAGTAGTTTTACGTTTTAGTCGTGCAAAACAACGGCAAGGAAATGTACAAAAAAAATGTGCTGCACGTGCAAAGTTGTTTTTTTTGCTAATTAGAAAAAAAAGCGTGCTGCACGTGCAAAGTTTTTGTTTTTTTGCTAATTAGATCTATTGTTGTTTTTTTTTTACCGTTCTCGTTGTTTTCGCCTTGTCTTTAGTATTAGACAATTTTATATTTTCTTTGAGGAATTTATAAATATTAAAGAGAGCTTCGCTTTTAGCCCTGGCTAAATTTATGTATTAGATTTGCACATTTTGTTCCAAAGAACGTCCATCATGCGACTCTAACACTGCCCGGTAAATGGTTATTTAAAAAGTTAAGCTGTGGTTATAAAAAAGGCCCCATTACCTTATTGGATAAAATCAGCAGAAACTTCTTCTTTTCCTCTTGTAATTCACTTAAATTCTACCGGGTTATATAAAAGAAATAAGTCACTTTTGATAGTCAACAAATTACGCAATTGTCTCAACAGTAAAAGCTAAGTAGATTACCCACAAAGCTTATGGTGATGTTAAAACCGTAGAGAGCCCCGGAAAAAATTATTTTGTAGGGGTGGGGTGGGTTTTCGGCGTGTTTCCGACAAAAGACGATTCTCTAATCATGTTTCGTATCCGACCTAAAATATGACATCCCATTTCAAAACACTCCAACAGGATTTGTTTGGAACACTAACATGGCCGCCGTTGTTTAGAACAAAAGCATGGCCCCGTGACGTCATATGAAAACGCTCACAACCGAGTTGAGTCTTGATGGACCTACAATATTTAATAAGTCGCGTCTACTTAAAAATGTACCCAATACCACACCCCAGTCAACTTCTGTGTGCATTTCGACGCGTTAAATAGCACTTCATTTCGACAAAAAAACCCGGATAAACGCGAAAAATCAGAGATTTTTCAACGAAAGAGGTGTATAAAAATTTCTGACCTGAGAAAGTTGATCACGGTGTCTTAGTAGCTCCTCTTTGTTATTTTTCTCTTCTGTTAGTTGTTTCTGTAGAACAGTGTTCACCGACCTACAGGCTGCCACTAAAAGAAAACCAAAGGGAAAAACATTTTCGATGAAGGCTCTTGTTGTCTTCAAAAAAGTGAAGTGAAGAACTACAATGAAATGCATTGCACATGGGTGGACGCCACTTCCACCTTTTTCCCGCCCTTGGCTTGTTTTCCCGCGTTGTGCGCTCTTGGCACTGGGTGGCCTAGTGCAAGTTTTCCCGCCCTTTCAACCAGTTACTTGTTTTCCCGCGCTTGGTACCTAACCTTTGTTTTAGGGTCTGAAAAAAATAGCTACACCTATAAATTACACCTGTCAAAGTTCTATTATATGACCTCTGGTGACCTACTGCAAGTTTTTCCGCCCTTTCAACCAGTTACTTTTTTCCCGCTTGGCACTACGCCTTATTTACGCATTACAAACCAATATCAGATCAGTCAAACGTTTTCCAAGTCACCGAAAAGGGTTTACAGATCTTTGTTATTTGTCAGTGCTAAACACTAGGAACAAAAACTTACATTCAAATGCTAAATCTGTCTTAATAGAGGACTTATCTTCTTGTTTCTTCAATGATCCTTCTTTGAGCTTTTGGTGGGCAATAAGGAGTCTTCTACAAAGTTTAAAAATAAGATTGAGTCAGTGAAAGAAAGTTAGAGGTATATTGGGAGGGGAAGAAAGTGTGTGACATCACAAATTTAAGAATTTATGAAATTCTGGGGTTCGTTGAGGTTCGACCCTTGTCCGCAAAAACTCAATAATTTTTCTTCCGTGTCGACTGTGTTATAATATCGCGTGTTTTTGTATTTATGGTACGTACATCAAAGTTGTTTTCGTTATTGAGACAAAAAGTTCTACACTCTACAAATGCTACAAGAGCGTGGTAGCGAATCAGTTTGGGTTCACTACGACCATTCATAATTTCAAAAATGAAGTTCGCATACAAACCTTCGTAGTTGAGCGTTTTCGACTTTAAGCGGCTTTACAGCCTGCTCGATATCCTGAACTGCAGACGCTGTTTTGTCTTTCTCCCAAAGATACGGAAGTAGTTTAGCTGCGTCATCTATTTCGTTCAACAGTCGATTTACTTCCAAGTCACCTATGAACAGAGCACACAGGGTGTTGAAAGCTATTAACGATCTGGTCCCAGTTGTTCAAACGTTGGATAGCGCTATCTATCAGATAAATCACTATCCAGTCGATAAGTATTAGGGAAACAAATTACACTATCTACGGGATAGAGATTTATCCGATGGATTGCGCTATCCAGCCTTTGAACAACCGAGGCCTGGCTCTGGTCTCTGAGTAGAGAGCGCTGTACACTCAAGACATGATATTCGGCTCAGGCAGCACTTGTACTAGTGAGTCGGTCATTGAGTTCTGATTCGCTCGCTCCTCAAGGCAGGTAGTAGAGAACCCTGGGAACGAGGTTGGCACAGGTAATGCTTTAACATTCAGATACCAATGAAAAAAAAAAAAACAAACAGCAAACGGTCCGTACTAACCCGTACTTCCAAGAAGCGCTCTAAGTTCATCAAAAAGATATTGAGTCATCCGCGCCTTGTTTTCACCCGATGATGATTGAATTCTTTCCCCAGTGTTGGGTTTTTCTGATGTTTTTGTTGTAGGTATTTACATGGAGTGGGGGACCCCGGTCTAGTGGGGTTGGTTTCTTTTGTTTTCACGCTCTGGGGGACACAAAACAAAAGAAACTTACCCCACTAGACCGGGGTCCCCCACTCCATGTAAACAGGGTCTAAAAGTAGTTTTACGTTTTAGTCGTGCAAAACAACGGCAAGGAAATGTACAAAAAAATGTGCTGCACGTGCAAAGTCGTTTTTTGGCTAATTAGAGTAAAAAGTGTGCTGCACGTGCAAAATTGTTTTTTTTTGCTAATTAGATCTATTGTTGTTTTTTACCGTCCTCGTTGTTTGCAACCTTTCTTTAGTATTACTCGATTTTGTATTTTCTTTGAGGAATTTTTAAATATTTAAGAGAGCTTCGCTTTTAGCCTTGGCTAAATCTATTTATTAGATTTGCGCATTTTGTTCCAAAGAACGTCCATCATGCGACTCTAACACTGCCCGGTAAATGGTTATTAAAAAAATTAAGCTGTGGTTATAAAAAAGGCCACATTACCTTATTGGATAAAATCAGCAGAAACTGCTTCTTTTCCTCTTGTAATTCACTTAAATTCTACCGGATTATATAAAAGAAATAAGTCATTTTTGATAGTCAACAAATTACGCAATTGTCTCAACAGTAAGACCTAAGTAGATTACCCACAAAGCCTATGGTGATTTTAAAACCGTAGAGTGCCCCCTAAAAAATTATTTTGGAGGGAAGGAGCGGGTTTTCGGCGTGTTTCCGACAAAAGGCGATTCTCTAATCATGTTTCGTATCCCACCTAAAATATGTAATCCCATTTCAAAACACTCCAACAGGATTTGTTTGGAATACTAACATGGCCGCCGTTGTTTAGAACAACAACAAGGCCCCGTGACGTCATATGAAAACGCTCTATAACCGAGATGGATCTTGCTGGACCTTCAAAATTTAATAAGTCGCGTCTACTTAAAAACGTACCCAATACCATACCTCAGTCAACTTCTGTGTGCATTTCGACGCGTTAAATAGCACTTCATTTCGACAAAAAAGCCCGGATAAACGAGAGAAATCAGAGATTTTTAAACGAAAGAGGTGTATAAAAGTTTCTGACCTGAGAAAGTTGATCACGGTTTCTTAGTAGCTCCTCCTTGTTATTTTTCTCTTCTGTTAGTTGTTTCTGTAGAACAGAGTTCACCGACCTACAGGCTGCCACTAAAAGAAAAGCAAAGGGGAAAACATTTTCAATGAAGGCTCTTGTTGTCTTCAAAAAAGTGAAGTGAAGAACTACAATGAAATGAATTGTACATGAGTGGATGCCACTTCCACCTTTGTCCCGTCCTTGGCTTGTTTTCCCGCGCTGTGCGCTCTTGGCAGGGTGGCCTACTGCAAGTTTTCCCGCGCTTTCAATCAGTTATTTTTTTCTGCGCTTGGCACCGGATGGCCTACAGCAACTTTTCCCGCTCTTTCAACCAGTTACTTTTTTTTCGGCCTGGCACTACGCCTTATTTACGGATTACAAAGACTACATACCAATATCAGATCAGTCGAATGTTTTCCAAGTCACCGAAAACGGTTTACAAGTATTTTTTTTTTGTCAGTGCTTAACACTAGGAACAAAAACTTACATTCAAATGCTAAATCTGTCTTGGCAGAGGACTTATCTTCTTGTTTCTTCAATGATCCTTCTTTGAGCTTTTGGTGGGCAATAAGGAGTCTTCTACAAAGTTTCAAAATAAGAGTGAGTCAGTGAAAGAAAGTTCGAGGTATATTGGGAGGGGAGGAAAGTGTGTGACATCACAAATTAAAGAATTTATGAAATTCTGGGGTTCGTTGAGGTTCGACCCTTGTCCGCAAAAACTCAATAATTTTTCTTCCGTGTCGACTGTGTCATAATATCGCGTGTTTTTGTATTTATGGTGCGTAAATCAAAGTAGTTTTCGTTACTGAGACAAAAATTTCTACACTCTACAAATGCTACAAGAGCGTGGTAGCGAATCAGTTTGGGTTCACTACGACCATTCATAATTTCAAAAATGAAGTTCGCATACAAACCTTCGTAGTTGAGCGTTTTCGACTTTAAACGGCTTTACAGCCTGCTCGATATCCTGAACTGCAAACGCTGTTTTGTCTTTCTCCCAAAGATACGGAAGTAGTTTAGCTGCGTCATCTATTTCGTTCAACAGTCGATTTACTTCCAAGTCACCTATGAACAGAGTACACAGGGTGTTGAAAGCTGTTAACGATCTGGTCCCAGTTGTTCAAACGTTGGATAGCGCTATCTATCAGATAAATCACCATCCAGTGGATAAGTATTAGGGAAACAAATTGCACTATCTACTAGATAGAGATTTATCCGATGGATAGCGCTATCCAGCCTTTGAACAACCGAGGTCTGGCTCTGGTCTCTGAGTAGAGAGCGCTGTACACTCAAGACATGATATTCGGCTCAGGCAGCACTTGTACTAGTGAGTCGGTCATTAGGGCCATTTATACGAGGAAAAATAAGACGCGTCTTACGTAAGACGCGTCTTTAATAAGACGCGAACTGTACCATTTATACGAGCATGTCTTATCTAATAAGACGCGTCTTATTTTAGACGAAATGTGCCGTTTATACGGAAAGTTCGCGTCTTATTTAAGACGCGTTTTATGTAAGATGCGTCTTATTTTTCCTCGTATAAATGGCCCTAATGAGTTCTGATTCTCTCGCTACGCAAGGCAGGTAGAAAAGAACCCTGGGAACGAAGTTGGCACAGGTAATGCTTTAACATTCAGATACCAAAGAAAAAAAAAGCAAACAGCAAACGGTCTGTACTAACCCGTACTTCCAAGAAGCGCTCTAAGTTCATCAACAAGATACTGAATCATCCGCGCCTGGTTTTCAGCAGATGATGATTGCATTCTTTCCCCAGGGCTGGGTTTACCAGATACTTTCAATGGAGGAGTAAGAAGTCTGGTTGTTGAATCTTCGGATAAACCAGCCTGGTCGTCAAGAGATTTTGTCAGGTTTTGACTTGTATTTGGGAGTAATTCCTCGTCCACGTAAGATGAAGGAGTGAAACTAGGCGAAACAATTCTCACCCGTTTCTTGGGTTCAGGCACAGTATCTATCTCCCGTTGAACGGAATTATGGTCTCCTTGTTTCAAACTTTCATCATTGTTTTCACTGCCAACTAAATCCATCCGCCCCCCTGATCTAGAGTCATTATAGTCACTTTCCTGAATTTTTTGAACAGAAAATCCTGAATAATCCAGACTTCTTCTTGCTGACGTTTTTCTTGGATTGGAATTCGGATTTCCTTCCCTTTCTGAAATGTTTTCTGGTTGCGCTCCGGTTGAGCGTTGAGGTGCATCGCGTTGAAGTGAACTGTCTTCATTTTGTTGATGATTCTCCAGTTGTTGCATCATGGAATGTTGCAGTTGTAACTTTTGCTCCGTTTGGTGACTTGGACTTTGCTGTCTCTGAATTCAAAGAAATACATAAGACTAGTTCTTTAATAATCTCCTGAGCAGTGATAGTTCTAGGCTCAATCTCCAGCCTTAAGTGCTTCCATGCGCAAGCGAGTTCAAGTCCCGCCTCAACCGATAGCTGGATTTGTTCTAGCCTTTGCGCTACAAATACATGTACTGCCGAGGGTAAATACAGGAATAATTATTTTAGAAGGGTGAAACGACAGCAACTTACTTGAAGCAGCTCATAACGTTCTTTGAGTTGCGCTAGTTCGTGTTGAAGTTCTGCTTCTCTTCTCTGCAGCTGTTGGCGTTTATGTCGTTCTTCTGCAGTAAGAACAGGTGTGGACGATACTAAACGATCATTGTAGGCTGTTGATCTAACAGCAACTTCTTCATGACGATGCAATGGTGATGGAGTGGCTGGATTGAAAAGCAATTAAACATGTAAGAACACGGCCTGTGTGGCAGGAGTTAACAAGGGAACAGGAGGGAGCAATCTGGGCGGAAACGGTCATCTCGCCACCACCAAGAAGTCGACTCGCCACCAAGTAATAACTCTGTAATCAAATTCGAATAAGCTTGGACAAGAAGGAAAAATTCTAGGTAAGTAATCCTAGGTCAGTAAACATGTCGATTAATGCAGGGTCATTACTTGGTGGCGATTTCGTTGGTGGTGAGATGATTTGGTGGCGAGATGCCCGTGAACCATTTGGGCCCCTGAAGAGGAGGGAAAAGGGGACCTTTCCTTGGGTGCGTCTCTCGCTCTCACGTGCCTGAATTCCCCTTCCCCTTTTCCTCTTAACACCTGACATGCAGGCTAGCCGGGGGCCAGATTTATAGCAGCCGGGGGAAATCCCAGCCCCCGCCTCTTAATGATAGCCCCGAATTTTCAGAGCCCAAGCAAAAACATTTAATAGATAAGGGGCATTTAAAAGAGCGTGAGCTTTATTCCCATAACTGTAACACTTAAGGAGTAAAACAGTTCACATGTTTGTACCTTTGTCTTCAGAGCTCGCAGTGGGGATCACAACTTTTCTACTCGCTGCTTTTGCCGTCTGTCTGTCAAACTTTCCTGGTCTTCCTATTGGTTGAACAGCTGGAACTTTTTTATTGGAGGAATTGGCAGTTTTGCTCACACTTGCAACTCTTGAATGTGATGTGCTATCTGAAAAACAAGTGTATTAGCAGGACAACACACTGGCAGAAACTACTCCTAAAGTTGCCTGAAACAAACCACAAAAAAGTGTTTTGAAGCCAAGGGGGTACTTTAGGAATCTTTGGGTGGGGGTGTGCTGCTGGGACCCTGGAACCCTTAACCTATACCAGAGCTAGTGCAGCTGAATTTTGCTACCCTATACTAGACAAAACTCCCTAAATATCCCCCTATCCTAGAGTAGTTTTTAGGCTGAGTTGCATAAATATAAATTTGCCGATTTTTGAGAGGCAATTCCAGGTTTCCCTAGTCTAGGCTAAAATCTTAAAATAGGTTAAAATCTTAAAACCTTAAAATCTGGAAAATGATACCCTATTCTAGACTTAAACGCTCTGATTTATATACCCTATCCCAGAGTGAACAGCTTGAAACCATACCCTTCACAGCAGCACATACCTATAGAGCTCATATATGGCAGTACCCACCCCTTCCCCGGGTTTTGAACTCCTGTGCATGCATCTCCAAACCAACCACTGACCACTAGAACCATCAAACTTTAAGTCCCAATAGTGACAAAGATCAATTTTCTCTCTCAAGAGATAAGTTATGAGAATTAATAAAATGATCACCCAAGAGAAAATGCCTTGATCTGTTATCAAATTCTCACAACTAATTCTTTAAGGAAATGTATGGAGATCAGTTTGGAGAATTTCTATGTGGTTACCGGGGCTTAAAGGGTCTAACTGCATTTCAAAATTATTCAAGCGTTAACAGGAATGAAACCTCACCTTTATCTTCATTGTCCAGTATATTTGACAGCAATGCAGCACATCTGTTTAAGCCTCTGTCAACTGCAGATGCCTATGAATGACCAACAATCTGGTATCTTAACAAATACTAGAAATAAGTGGTTTGAATGCTGAGATTGTCATTTAGGACTTGGGACAGGTGATTTTACCTGGCTGTTGCAAGTGTGAGCCCTGGTTGGATTGTTTAATGAGGGCTCGTAAAGGTAAAATTCCAACAAGCGAAATAGGCCAGATGAAATTGCAACAAATGACGTAAAGATGGGTATTCGAAACTGCAACAGTGGCAAGGACCATCACAAATACAACAGTAAAATATTGACGGGGACATCGCCTCCTCCTCCATATGTGAAGTGAATGTGGAAGGTAGTTGCTAAGAAGTGATCGCCCATTGAGGTTTGACTATCAGCTCCCTGAAAAGATCCCAGAGAGACATACAAGGAAGATTGTCATCCTAAATGAGTTAATGTGAAGTACCTGGTCTTCAGAATCTGAGGTGTAAAGACTGTACCCAGGTTTGGATTCCTTGGCTGCACTTTTCTGTCCTTTCTGAACTCTGAATTAGTTTGAGGACAAAAAATAATCAAATCATCACAATAATTTATTTAATACTTCATCTATGATGATAATAAGGACTATGATGATAATGATGATGATGATGATATATGATGATGATGATGATGATGATGATGATGATGATGATAATGATGACGATGAACCATTAATAGAGCAGAAGACAAGGACGCATACATTCATTATGCTTTAAGAAAACAAATGAGAAAATTAATGAACCATAAGCTAAGGCTTCAATAAGCTTTTCAGATTATGCATAACTTGGAAATATTGCGCCTGAAAGGCTTACCTTTTAACCGCAGGAGGTTTAGATTTCGAAGCGAGGCCTCGAGCTACCAAGGATGCCTTGGACGCCTTAAACACAACAAAGAGAATCAAAATGACTGTAAGGTTGTCGACAACAACAAACTTAGTAAGCTTGCGTAAATTGAATCGTTTATAGATTAATTTTTCACACGCGAGATTTAAGTAAAAAAGAAAGCGACCCTATATCAAGTACGCCAGGTTTAAAAAGGATCTAAATACCTTTCCCGGAGCCCTACTTTTCATTCCTTAAAGAATCGAAGTCCATTTTAATATTTCGGTTTCTTCGTCTTTTGCCGCCACACGTCGCCATTTTGAATTGTTTTTATCCCCGCGAAAGTCCGCTGCATGCTCACATGAGCCCGCGTTATCACTTCAAGCAAAATGGCGGACGACACGAAGTGAAAAGTAGGCGATTTTTTTTATTTTTCATCTCCGATCACTGCAAAGTATGGTCAGTGCAGACTTACTGAAAAAGGTAGCAATATGTGGTGCTGCTTTATCTTGTTTTGGAGCGGCATTTTTCCATCACAGAATACAAGGTAGATTCAAAAATGAGAAATTAAGTTTCTGTGCCTAGATGAGGTCAAAGTTTGGTGTGATTAATCATCCTTGTTGTAAAGGGTACCTGTCGTACCCTTTTATTCCTAGTTATCAAACGACAAATTACTGCTTGATCAATGCAGTACTACAGAAAGAGTATGAAGAATGACATGTGAGCATAATTTTTGGTATGATCATTTTCTGAGTTCTCTCAACCTGACTAGTTGACCAAGCATTCATCTGGTCTAGGAAAAACTCTTTGATGATCACTATCAGGTAAAGTGCCCCAAAATAAGTTGAAGTAATGTTAGGCTGAGAAAACAGCTGACATTCGGCGACGCTACCACTGGCTTCTGCGCCAAATGACGTCTGAGAAAAAAGCGCAGAAATTCCATACTGATGACACGTCACTACCAAGATCTGGGTAGTGCTTCTCATTGGTCGTGCCGCGAGGTAAATTTGATTCAACCAATCAGAAGCACTACCCAGATCAGGGTAGTGAGCCATCATCAGTATGGAATTTCTGCACTCATTCTCTCAGACATCGTTTGGTGGGGAAACCAGTGGTAGCATCGCCAAATTTCGGCTGTTTTCTCAGGCTAAAGTAATGTACATTTTACTTTTTTAGCAAAGATAGCTGCCCAAGATTATTACAAAAAATCTGTTGAGGTGCTTAGGAATCACCAGCTGGCATCAGATACTCTGGGGAAACCTGTCAGAATTCCTTACGTAAATCTAACAAGAAAGGACATCAGGCTTGGACGTGACTTTGCTCAGGCAAGTGAAATGTTCAGAGATGTTAACCTCTGGCGATCTAAAATCTGGAGACTCTCCATTTTGCACTGCAGCCCCCCTTTCCCTACCCCCGAATATTAACAGCCCCCCTCTCTCAACCCCGGCCACAAATTTATCCTGCCGCCAAGGACATCATATGAACAGCATACTGTCAAAATTCATTTTCATCATTGTAATGACAAAATATACCTTGTCAGTGACTAAATATGTGCAAAAATGTCCCAGAAACTGCGAAATAAAAAAGTACAAATTTTTAGGGAAAAAATGGGCTAAATTCAAACTGAAGCACAGAAAAGCTCAAAAGTCTATTTGATCCAGGAGATCTGGTGACCTGTACGGGAGAGCGGGAAATCAGTGCCATATACGGGAGACTCCCGGATAATCCGGGAGAGTTGGCATATATGAAATGTTCCTTTGAGGAGGGGGACTTTGGATAAACCGTAAGAAAAACTGGCAAATACCGAAATACCATGTTTAAATTGATGAAATATCAATACCTCATATGATCAGTCACACTAAATTTAATGCGAGTGCGCATGAAAATCACCCCATGCCGCGTCTCGCCTTTCTTGCATGGGGTGACTTTCACGCACTCGCGTTTCGCTTGCTCTACTATCCCTGAGAGAAAATAAGGGACTACTTGTAGTCTAAGGGGGATGGCAACCTGGAAGAATAGGGGATGGGAGAGGTATGAGAGGGAAGCGGAGTTGTAAAAGGGTAAGGACTGGCAGAAATAGGAGAAATCATGCAACAGTGCTCAACTGTTTAGCAGTTGAAAAAGGGTTTGATGAGGAAGCCTTCCATGTTTTGGTCACTAAAAGTAAACAGACACTTCTAAAATTTGGGGATTACTTAATAGCATCATCATTTATTGCGGTCAGTGTGACAATTTTTTCTCTTCTTAACAGATAGTTATTCCAGTTAGAGGAAGCAAAAACTCAGGGAATTTATATTCATTTGCTACAAGGAGGGGAGAGGAAGGGTATGTATTCGATGTTGGTTATTGTTTAAGTAAAATGAGTTGAATGATATAATTTCTAGCAATCATAAGCAGCCCCTGGGATTCGATCAAGAGAAAACAGGGAGATTCAGCAACAACGACAATGATGGTGATGAAAACATCCCTTACAAAGTGAATTCATGCTTTCCCAAGTTGCTCAATTCATCAAATGTTGGTGAATTTTTCTGGGGTTGCATTCTAAAGACCTGTATCTAAGTTTCAAACTAAAATTAGAACATTTCTGTATCATGTTCACATCCTCTTCAACACGTAAAATAGGGCAGTTTTAATTTCATGTGATGGTTGTGGAATGACAACAAAGAAATTTACGAAGTTATTGTTTTGCCAATCTAAACCTACTGCTTTTTTGTCATTCTCATCATTGTTGCTCATAAGCTCCCTAAGGGTTGATTTCCAGTGTCGCATGATTTTTGTGCGTATGTGCATAAAATTTACGTTCGCAAATAAAATAGAGGCAATGCATGAAAGATTGCTCATAAGCGTAAAAGTTGAACCCTGCTTAACTTCTCATTTAAGTTCAGCACTTTTTATCTTGCCTCTATTTTATTTACGTGGTGAAAATTTACATGCGTTAATGTGCGTAGCCAAAAAAGCATCAATGGAAATCAACCTTTATATTATTTTTTGCTTTTACTGTTTGACAGAGATCATTTCATATACACACCATTTTAATCATGGCCTACATTGATACAACAACTTTTTTGTAAACATTCCATGCATATTATTTTCTATTTTTTTTTTCTTTCTAGATGGGTACTAGAGAGAGTAGAGCTTGAAGCAGGGCCAGAACATCCCAGAATAAAAATTGTACCAGAGGACTGATTTTTATGGATTTCCAAGAATGAAGATAATGGCGAAAACCTGAATGGCATTCTTTGGTTTGCCATGATGAAGAAAGCGTTGCCTGAATACTGGAATTTATTCCTTTTAACTGTGTTATGGCATTCAACACTTTGTCTACAAAAGGTGCTGCACAGGACAACCACTTTTTGGTTGTATGAAAGTGAAAGACAAACTGTATGCATCAGAGATAAACAGTGTTCAATGGAAAAATCTTTTATTTTCAAGACAAATGAAGTCTGAGAAATGAGCTTGAGAATTCCATACTGATTAATGCACTAAATAAACAAGATGTAGAAAATTTATCATTCAAGAAATTTTCTCATTTTTTGCATAATTTCATTGAAACAATTTGTTGGAGAGAATATCTGCAAAAAGTTAACTATCATATTATAACATTATGGCAGCTACATTTGGGAGTTTCTAACAGGGATGTTGTCAGTTACCAGTTAAGAAAAATGCAAAAAAGCAACTTCACAAACAGATATACTGTTGTAATACATTTAAGCTGAGAAAAAGTTTTTGTAGAGGCATTTTTTCCGATTAAACTTGAAAAAGTAACATCGTTTTTCTGCATGTGTGTTACTTTTTGGTACATATCCTTGCCATCACTGCATGACTACAATATGAAATTGCCCAATGCAACATTTAATTTCCATCCCTAAGAATTCAGCTCCAGAAAATTAAAATTTGCCTTCACAGTGTGCAAAGAAAGTTGTGTCCGACAGCCGGGGGCTAGTGGATTTTGTTATTGGGCTAGTGATTTTTGTTCTAAACATACCCGACGTGCAAGTGTTTGTTTTTGGGAATTCAAGTTACAGAAGGATTGTACTCAATCCTGCTGATCAAAAAGGGTTTTGGGGCTAGTTGAAATGACTTGTGGGCTAGTATATGCTGACTACAGCTTGCCCGAATGGCAGCTGTAAAACTGAATTTCTTTGCACCCAGCTTCATTTGAAAAATTGAGAGTGTTGAAATTAGAGTGATACCGTAGTGTTCTAAAAGTAAAATAGGAAAGCACTATAAAGCGCAGTTTTAGCTACTGTCAAAGCTCCCTAATGACACCAAAAGTCGGTCTCTATTTAAAAACAACTAAAAATGAATCAAACTCACCAAAGACCCATAAATAAGTGAGCTTTAATTTGCCACTTTAATTGCCATAGTCAAAATACAATACTGTATATTAATGCAGAAAAGTGACAAAATACATTACTCCTGGAACTTTTGCTCATACAAAATTCGCTACTTAAGTCAAAAACTAACTACAGCCGTACAAACATTTATGTTCTGTTGTTCCAGAAAATATCTATAAAACCTCATGACTCCACCATCAGTTCTGTTTATTTCACATTATTTAAATACAACAACTCCCTAACTTTATGTATCTATCTGCTTTTCAGTATTCCCAAGATTCCAATGACAAAAGAAAAATATTATCATATATTATTATTCTGAACACTCACCAAGTAGTTTCTTAGTGTTCTTGGAAGTGTTAACATTAATGGAATACCGTGTGGCGTGACATTTTTGCGGGAGTTTATTTTTGCGGATTGGCGATTTTTTGTATTTTGCAGGAACTAATTTTTGTGATAAGGACAGATTAGTTTCCCTCGATGGAAATTAATTATTGCAATTTTCAGAAGTCCTGGACAAATTATTGATATATTTTGGTTTTTATTGAGTAATGGAAATACATATTTTTAAACAACACCATGGTGTGCGTAGCCTATGTAAAACCAGTGACAGTTTCGCTCGTCATTTTAATCATTTTGTTTCCAAACAAAAGAGACAAGTTAGAATTGAACAGACACAATTTCTTAGTACTGTATTTTTGTGTAGTGAATTTAAGTTAGAGAATATTTACTCTGGAGTAAAATGTTGTGGGAAAAATGTTTGCAGTAATTAATTTTTGTGGGGACTTATTTTTGCGGATCGCTGGAAAAATCACAAAAATTAGAACCCGCAAAAATTTCATGCCACATGGTAACAATTAATATTTCTAAAATAAAATAATCAAAAGATGACAAAAAAGATACCCACACCTTAACACAACAGCATAGTGCTAACCAAACCAACAATACTGTGCCTTTTCCCTAGTAGAAATACAAACCAGCTTTTTTCACTCTCTTGAAGTAATATCCTGTGAATGTACCTCCCATCTCTAGTTAACTGTCTACCTTCTTTCTTGATGGAAAGAGTCCTTATGCATTGCTTCCAA